AAGGTGCCCGTGCCATGCATGATTCGTCGTGTTGCTGTCTGTTTCTCTGTCTGTGTGTGTGCCCGTCTCCATGTCTTGCTCCATCCCAGTTAGAATTGTAAGGCACGAGCGTGTGCGTGTGTGTGTTTCTGTGTGCGCCCCCTTTCAGTCGAGGCCGCGGAACTCTTTGCACGGCTGCAGTAGTATTGCGAACCGGTATGCCTAGCAGCAGGCGTTTTGGGATGTTGCAAGGAGTCCCCATTTCCGCATGCTCCCTGGGCGGCGGTGTCGGGGAAATGTATGATCTGTAGCCTTCTCTAGTTTTAGTTTCGAGTTTTACGCATGCAAACAGTGTGAGGTGTCGTCTCAATGCCTGATAGTTGAGAATTTGAGCCCCAGTTGCGGTGGCAAGTAAAATATAAACTTAAATCGGCGTGGTTTGGAGCTGTTTGCTGGCGATCTGGCATGCCGGTATTGTGAGAGATGGGGTTTGCGTCATGAAGAACATGCTTACCGTAGGACTTTATGGATTTTTCCTATTCTTCTCAACGTGAACAGTGTACGTTTCTATAGCAAGCTACCTTTGAATTTGATTATGATTTGCCATGCCGACATTTTCAGAATGAGCTTGTCTTAGGTTGTGTTAGACCTCGTATGTTTCTAGTGTATGAACTACCTCAATGTAGAATCAGGCCTCTTACTGTCAATTTTCTTGTCAAAATCAGTTGGTAATATACGAAATATTTGAGATTACATGCCCTTTCCTTCTGGATGGATGCGCTGCCGACTCCCTACTGCTTAATCGAAACCAGCTAGGTATTTCTCATAGAATGTATCAACAGTGGTATTGTAGTGGGTTTCACAGTGCTATTCAATAATGTAGAACGGATTGAATCATCGTGGCTCGAATAGCTTTTAGTTACTTGAGACAACACTTATTTACAAGATCAATGTATGATCAATACAGGATTTCGACCTCTACAAAAATAATTCCCCGGCGATTGAGCCTGAATGAACTGGTTGGGCTGACGATTTCGTTTTTAGAAATGTGTAACTCCTGAGTCTGAACTTCATTGATTTAATTCGTTGGGATTGCTTGAAATACCGTTCCCCCCCCCCCCACCTCCTATTTATTTATTTATTTTATCGGATTGGATCCTTTTTTCTGTTCCTGCTTTGAAGAGTCCCTTTCAAAAATTAATGATCTTGTCTCGTTTCGGCGACTGGTTTTACCTTTCCCCATGATAGTTTGCTAATGGCTCCCAGCAATTACAGAACGATGAATCGCGCTCAGAGTAGTATGACCAACTTCGTTCACAATTTTCATTAGAAGCTGATCGATTAGTTTTTCCTTCTGCTTTCTGGCTCTTTACAGTAATAGAGAATACTCTCAGCAATAAATTCCATGGGTATGGTGGGTTGTTCTGGAAGTAGACAACTCCGTTTTTTAGCTTGAGAATCTTGACCTTGGACACGACCGTGCCATGTTGTGGTGAGCTGTTTCACTTCACAACTGGAAACATGCTTTTGCGTGAGAATTGCATCGACTCCACTCCTAGGTGGCACGTCTTGGCTAGAGGGAGGTTGATGGCCTATTGTGGCGAAGACATCAGACGCATGGCCTTTACCATGACGGCCACAGGTATTCGTGAGGAGATGGCGATGAATTGGTCGCGTCAAAGAAGGCAATTAAAAGTGCGTCACAATTTTCAATTCGGTTCCTGTAGCCGTTTTTGCAACCCCAACCCCTTTTCTGTAAGTCAATGCTTTGGAGTTCTCTTCATCAATGCTATGATTTGGCCCGTGTGGAATTGCACCTATTTCTGGATGAGTTCATAACCCAATTGATTTTTAGGATTATCAGGTTTGTTTGCTTAGATTCTCTGTAGACACAAATTCGCTTTGGTAGACTAGGCTCAGTCCACTTCTGTGTGTAATCAATTATGTCAAGCTTCATATGTTTCACTTCCTCGTTGATGGGAGATGAAGTTTGTAGTTATGCTATGAATTTGTTAACGTGAATTTATCTGAAGATTTGATAACCTTGATTCTTGGGATACAAAAGGCAATCAATTATTTTCTTTATTATTAACCCCGCCACCCCCCAAAAAACCAGTCTAATCTTTACACGGTGTCACCTTAGGAATTTGTTCCACGAATTAGGTATGAAGCGGCGAGTCATGTTAAAGGCACCAACAACGTTGTAGAGGACAACCAAAAGTTTTCCATAAGCGAACAGTGCTCAGATATTTCGAAGAACAGCAATTACAGACATGTTTCAAGTAGCTCAAAAACAAAATCGACTCTTTATGAAAATCCAGATTCTGGGAATGGAAGACAATCTGACGAAAGGAACTCAAATACTGAGAATGGTAGTCAAGCGGAGAGTGGTGATGTTGGATTGGGAGACAGCGCAGCTCTGAAATGTAATGGACGTAATGGCCAAGATATTCCTTTAGGTAGGAAACGGAGATGGTGGCGAAAAAGAAAGAAGAATGCATACGCTGCAGGAATTGCCATTTATGATTCGCATACCAATTCTGTTCGACTCAAAGAATCCGTTACCGAAACTCCGACACAGTGCGTGAACCTGAAGCAGCAACGTCAGAGAAATCCAACTTCGAGCAAACGTCAGCTAACTGATCAAAGAATGCAGAGTGTGGAGGCAAAAGCTGTGTGGCAGGCGTCATCTCCTGAGGAGGTTACTGAGTGTGCATGTGAGTTGTATTCAGTTAGCAGATCTAATGAGAGTTTTCTAGGAATTGGGGAAGCGGCTCGTCTCTCTGGATTGGTAGTCATGCAAGAAACTGGCAATACACAACCTACAATTGAAAGCGACAAGGGTGCTCCTAACCAAGAATGTGCTGCCGACGTCTCGGAAGTGGTTCTAAAAAGAATACGAGGAAGGAAATCTACTGAAGCTTTTAAAGCCTCAAATATTAATGGATTTGATCAAAATTCTCAGTCCGCCAAGAAGATCTCGCAAACTGTAGGTCTTTCTCGGAAGACGAGAACACCGTCTACAGTTGATAATGGCGCTCAGCAGCAGCCATCCTCATTTACTCCAAATCGGAGCTTGCAATCTATGTTTGGAGCATCTCTTGGCAAGGTGAGAAAGGTTCCTATCAGACCTACAACTAGATATATTCATGGTAGTATATGCAAGACCGAGGATAGCGTAGATGATTAGGAGAAGTAACGAAAAGAAAATGAAAGATGGACAGATTTGCCTTTCATACAATTTGATGAATGATATCTCTCACTAAATTATCCACACACAGATCAACCAGTAAATAATTGTAGAATTGACTTAATCTGGGTATAGAAGTTTGCTGGATGCACGAGGGTTTGATTTACTTAGGCTTTGAAAATAGTGTGTATACGTTAGCCCAGTGAGATACGATGTATCACAATATCGACTCTGCTATTGATCATCTATCTGACTGTTCCTTGAGGATCATGGAAGCGAGTCCGATTTTAAACAACAGAGAACATAAATTAATGTTATCGTCTTGACTGATGTTTCGATTTTCTATGTCATTTTTGGTATCCAAGTCTCGATCCCAAGCTTGCTGACAGAGGTAGATTCTCATTGTTTCTGCACGTAGGAATAAGTCGCTCGTGTCTGGAGTTCCTCGCCCAACTTCAGTAGTTTTTGTGAGGAAGTAGACCAGGTCTGAGATATGACTGAGTGAATTATCAGGTAACTTGTGGGAGAGTCGTTGTCAGAATATGTCAATCTGTGAGAAGAAATAACGCCTCTGTTACGCCATGAAATAATATCTGGTTTTTCGATCGATTCCTTATTCCAGCATTGATAATTCAGTCGTCGGTATCGAGTGAACTGTAGGTTGTTGAAGTCATTCCTAAGATTGATGGTGGGCAATTCGACCCAGGAGTGCTGAAGTTAGGTCTACTCGGCTTAGTGCACAGGGCTTAAGAAGCCGTAAGTCATTATAAAATTACATAAGTTTAATGTGCGAGTCTAAGGTCGCAGCTCGGTTTACCAACGTTTTCACGAGAATGAATGTTTTATGTGGATTTATTTTTTGAAGTATAACCAACCGTTGTAGTTGTTAGTTTTACCAGAGGTAGTATTCTTAGATTTTCAAACGTGCGATGATTCAAAGTGGTCGAACAAGTTCTTGATGTTGCCCATTAGATTGTTGACCAAATTGCTGACATTATTAATGAAGTATCTTGTCTCCAATAATTTTCTTTAGTGATCAGTATCTGCGCACACACTGCGAATTTTGTAACAATCATTTAACGCAAGGTAAGAGATTATGAATTTCATTATTTTTTGAGAAATTCTTTTATGTTAGCGAAGATGAACTTACAGCAGTTTCCGAATAAGTTGCACACATTGTATCAATGTTCGTTAGTCTCTCCGCTAAGTTGACACCATGTGTAATACATTTTTATTAGACTTTTGCCATGACCATGAAATCTTCTTTTTGGGGGCCCAGGTTGATGAGCAAGTACAGCAGGTCCAAGCCAATGCTTCTTTCAAGAAATCAGTAACTACCGCTGACCAAGTGGCTGAGTCAAAGAGCTTAACCTCCAACTCAGTAACAGAGTCAGTGACCATACAAGCAGCCGAACTGTCCAATTATTTTAGTGAGATTTCGGAAGACGACGTGGATATGAAAGACGAATTTGAGTCCAATAGTTCTGATCGTCCTGAATTCCTGGGATTGAGGGGACTGAACAGTTACAAAGTTCTTCAAGATGATCAAGGGATACTTGTCATGATACGTGACTTTTATTTCTTCATGATGAAGCAGCCTCTTCCGAATTTTTCTATGGGAATGATAGCTGGTCCTCTTGCTCTCAGCATGGTTTTCACTCTCTTGTATTTGCCGGAATTCCATGGACTAGCATATGATGAAACGGCACGGGACTTTCTAAAGGCTGCAGATGGTACGATACTCAACGCAAGGTTGTTGGTATACCTTGTGTTGTCATGAGACACCTTGTGTTGTGCATTGTCCGATCAAAAGTCTATTATCAGTACGAATATTGGGTTCTTAGTGTTGGCTTTTTCAGGTAACGATGGGCGTGCAATTGGACTCAAGGTGTCCTGGATGACTGTTTTCCAAGTCTTTATGTTTAGCCTCTCTCTTTCAACGGGTCTACAACCGGACCTTGCCCCTTTGTCACCTTACACTTTGGTGGTTGCAAATCTCAATGCCTTAATCGCCCAACTCATTCTTGCTTTTCTAAGTGCGGCAGGTACGTGGCATTCCATGGACGCAGAACCATGAAGCAGTGTGTGCAGATGGGAATTTTATATTAAAGTCTGCCATTTCTCTAACTGATTACAGAGCATTTGAGACTATAATCTATCTCCTTGACCATGTGAGGCTGGATATTGATCTAGTTTAAATTTCTTATTCTTGACTGTCATAAATTCTGGCTCGCAATTCTTCTTTGTTTGGTTAACTTAGCAAACAGTTTAGAATGCCGTGATGTCTATAGATAAGAAATCATACATCAACTTGTGTGCCAGTATTTGCAAGGTTGTCGCAGCCCTCACAACCTGTGAGATGTTCGAGTGTAGCGCTCATTTACTCTCTGAAAAAGCCCGCGGGTCAAAAAGGGCAAAGTTTGAACAGGTAAGCTTTCTTAAAACGTGATTTTTTTTTTTTTTGGAATCTGTTAGCCTCACCGTTACCATAATTGATCCGAGGATGGATTCTTCTTTCATATTGACTTTGAGCGTGCAGGGTGTTGGTGACTAGGTGCGTGCTAGCGGGACCTCAGCCATGCGAGCTTATAAATGTGAAGGTGGATTTGACTTACAAATCTAACATGGTTTCCAGTGTGGGCTCTTTCTTGAGTAGTTCTTACTGCTTGAAGCTGGTAAGTTAATCTCATCCTCTGATTTTTACGCATGCTGTAGTTATCAAGTATATGTAGGTGTGAAATACAATTTCTTGTTGGTTCTTATGGAATGGATATTCTCACTTAGTTCTGACAGAGCTGCAATCTAAATGAACGTACTTTCTTTGGCTGATGTGCTTTGTATGTTCATTATGTTGGAAAAACGTAGGTGCGGTCACAGGTAGCTCTTCTTGACAAAGGAATGACAATTCGACACATCATTGATGCGACCAGCCCTTTGTATTCTCAAACTCCAGAGTCCCTGTGCCAAGATGATGCCATCTTTGTTTTGAGTGTGGTGAGCATCTTGTCCTCGCTTGGCTAGATCGTGTGTTTTCTAGACTTACACTCCAACCCTGTCGTGTATGCTTTTCAAGAACTCTATCCCTCGTTTACGGGGTATGGCACTGGAACACTGGGCATCTATTCAATCAATCACAATTTCATTATAGATTGTGTTGACGGTCATTGTTCCAAAAACGCATAAAGGAAGAGACTCTAAAGAACTATTAACACTGGCAGGCTGGGATGGAGCGCTCATCCATGCAACCTATCTCCCATGTGCAGTTCTACTCTGTATGTGATGATCAGGTGATATGGAATGCAGATTTTGAAGATATGATTCTGATTAACAAGAATAATCAGCGGGTTGTGGATCACTCAAAGCTAAGCTGTTGGAAACCACTGTAGCATGATTGCGTCGCGCTTTACCAAAAACGCATTACGAAGATGCATGTTTGGATTACTTCGTCATTTGAGTCATTACGAGATTTCATATTGTTTCCAAAGCTGGTCTTTAGCTTAATGAACAACTGTATAGAACCTACGTTCTCATCTAACATAATTTTCTTTATCAACCTACTACAAAGGGTTCATGCAGGGTGTATCCAATGGTTTGTTCCTAGAATTCTACATTCTTGGGTAGCATGAGAGCTAATGTTGGCATATATCACTGAAAACTCTGTCTTAGGAAGATACAATTCATGAGTTGGTCCTCAACTTGTAATGCTGTACATACACTCGACGATTGCTTTAAGATCATGCTAGATACTTTTGACGTCATCAACTACCTCACGAAGAGGAACACCGTCCCCTAGAGATGGCTAACACGAGAGTGGGCAGCAATCGCAGCAAACTTTAGTGGTCGCTAAATCGAATTTTTTACTAACACTGTTGTCATCATTTCGAAACTAGCTGAATACTCAGTACGTGTATGCAGGCATCAAATAATAAATACATGTAAGGTCCACATTTATATGGTGCCTTGGCTGAATACTTACTTCCACTACTTCCCCACTTCACTTTGGACTAGAGCTCATATTGGTGTTCAAAGGTCACACAATCTACTGGAATGATTGATATTTGCGTTGATACAAGATCAGTGAAGAGAATTAGTGGTTGCCTGATTTGAAGGAAAACTGCATGTATTTCTTCACTTGCAAGAAGGTGAATGGAATTAAAGTATTGACATTCTTTTTATTTACATCAAATCAAGACAAGTCAGAAGTCCAGTATTGTTAAATTGACAACCTCAACATAAAGAGTGCAGTAGCTTGGTTTAAGTATGTTAAAATTATATTGAGAGCAAAAACAATGAAGATTATTTTTAATAGAAAATATTATACAAAATGAAAAAACATGGTTGTCTTGTGTTCACAATGTTTGTTTAATTTCTTTGTCATAGCTTGCTAGTTTATTTGTCCATATTCAAGAAGACATTTCCAAATAAGGTTATTAATATAGATATCACTCTATACTTCTTTTTCATAGATATAAACCATAAATATTTTGGACAAAAACTTAGCTATTGATGCATCTAAAATCCTAGTGCATTTCTTTATAGTTAAAGATATTTATCAATAAATTTGATTAAATGAAACTAATTAATTATTTATATGTTGAATAACTATAGATAATCCTATTGTGCTTTAAGTAATCTAAAAAAATTATAATAAGAATTTTTAAATTTTGGTTTTTAAAATATCAATAAAATAATTTTTTAAAAAATAAAACATAATATTAATTGGATAAAAAATATTCAATGAACATCTGATATCATTAAAAATTCATAGAATCAAATATAAATTCTCTATCAAACATTGTATTGAGATTTTATTTATACTATTCATAAATTTGTTATTTAAAAAAATAATAATTGATATGAATTTTATGTAAAAAAAATTAAAAATTAAAAAAATCTACATATCTTCTATACTTTTAGATTGTGTATTATTAATTTATTTTATATAAAAATCAAATTTATTATAAAATAATCTAAATTTATTTTAAAATATTTAAATGATATATTTTGAATTCTTTATAATAGGATTTATTTAAAATAGACCATCATCAAACTATCTAATTTTAGATAAAAATACAACATTAGCTAAATAGCTTTAGTTCTCATGGTTTTGTATAGTATTTTTTAGAAAAAATTAACACTACAAATTATTTTTATTTAATAAAATTAAGATCAAGATTTTATAGTTGATATACTAATAATATTTAAAAATTCAACTTAAAATTTGAAAAATAAAATATATGTATTTTAAAATTATTCTTTTCAATATATATATATATATATATATATATATAAGTAATATGTATCAAAATATAAGAATGTATGTATTTTTCTTGGTTGGATTCCAATCTTTGAGCATACATTTATTTTAAATTGTGAAAATTTTATTGTCAATAGTTTTATTCTATGTTGATGATTATTTGGTCAAGAATCAGTAGTACTTATTATACTCGTCGTTCATCCGAGTTGAGTGAAATCTTAACATTAGATTTTTATTTCATTTGATATTGATATTTTCATATACAATTAGTCATGCTGCTAACTTTGAGATGAGTTTTGGAGAAGTTTATATACTTTCGATGTTCGATTGTTGTTTGGCTTTTCTCAAAATGAAGACCAGTATGTTAAAATGCGAACTTTTGGAATAGTACAGAGGATTTCTATTTCAAGCATTAAAATAGTTGAAGAGATTCTGCAAGTGATTTGTTCCACTGTCTTTGTGAGGTAATTTCTGGAACAGCAGGACACAAGGTGTCCAAAGATGCATAACCAGGCGGAGGGGCAGGGCAGGGCAGTGCCGGGTAGGGTATGGAAGGGGGCAGATATGTAGGCGGGGGCAAGTGGGGTCCTGGTATCATGCGGGGACGAGAGCGGGAGAAGGGAAACCCTAAGAACAGAGCGGCGCGCTGAGAGAGCCCTCTCTTGCTTCAAGCTTCGCGTGTATCGCTGCAAGGGCTCTCTTTCTGCTTCGCCTCGTTGCATCGTCGCTTGATCGGACAGGTTCAGGGTTCCTTTTGCAATGGCGACAGCTACGGAGTCCGTGCAATGCTTCGGCCGGAAGAAGACAGCCGTGGCTGTGACTTACTGCAAGAAGGGCAGGGGTTTGATCAAAATCAACGGGTGTCCCATCGAGCTGGTTGAGCCCGAAATTCTGCGTTACAAAGCTTTTGAGCCCATCCTGCTTCTCGGGAGGCAGAAGTTTTCTGGCGTGGACATGCGCATCCGTGTCAAGGGTGGAGGTCACACTTCGCAGATTTACGCTATTAGACAGAGTATTGCCAAGGCTCTCGTAGCATACTTTCAGAAGTACGTCGATGAGCAGTCGAAGAAGGAGATCAAGGATGTTCTCTTGAGGTACGACAGGACTCTGCTTGTGGCTGATCCTCGTCGCTGCGAGCCCAAGAAGTTTGGAGGTCGTGGTGCCCGCTCTCGTTTCCAGAAGTCTTACCGTTAAGCGGCAAGGCGACTGTTTTGTTCGAGGTGGTTGCTATAATGCATGCCGTTCTGAGAAAATACCCGAGGTGCTAGATTTTGGTAACCTAAATTTTTAGTTTGTTAACCGGAGATTCTTTGAATCTCTACATATGCGGATATGCATTGAGACGTTAACCCTAATGGTACACGACAGAGCTTCCTCATTTTCTGCACGTGTTCTTTTTCAAGGTTATGATTCCCTTGTATGTGTCCTCCTATGCGTAGCACATGCCTGCATATTACTTGTCTTTGTGCGAAAACTTTTTATATGCGCTACTTCGTGAAGGCACTGATTGTCTTCTTCCATCTATGCATCACTGTTTTTTAAAAGTAGAAATTGATCATGAGTGAATCGTCTCTAGGTCATTACTGGAAGTGTCCTTTTGTAATGGTTTCATGCGTGAGCACCATCTCTTTCCAATTGTGAGGTTTGAGATGTTTTATAGTATGACGGACACTTCTGCTTCTTTCCCTCCACCTCTATCCATGAATTCTTACCGTAACCCTAGTGGTGATGATGTATAGAACGATATGCTCGTTACTAGTCAGAATGTTTATCTTCAGTTTTAACATAATGAACTCTTACAATCTTGTCTATCTTCCCTCATTAAAGCTACCACAGTTTGTGTATTGCGTTTGGTGTATATATTTTCGGCATATGGATTGGATGCGACACTACACCTTTAGAGGGATTGGCTCATTTAGAATTAGGTAGTGCTATTAATGCTCTTTTAACTTGACATCGGTTTGGGCTGTGTCCTGGCGAGAGGTTTAGTATTGAAACTTGGGTCTATGTATACCTATTAGCACTATTTTTCCGTAAGGGCGATGATTTACCTTATCTACATTTTTGGGATACCAACGTGAGTTTTAGGATGTTACATCTTGGCAGGCCATTCTCCTAGGTCATCTCATCCAGAATTCTCTTATGATTCTCTATCTTATGAGAGCCAACCTGCCTAAGGGTCACTTTATTTGTATTTTCGACCCGAGAAATACGCAAAGTGAAGTATTTGTCAGGGTGTGTAAATGTGCATAGATTCTTCATTTTGGGGTAGGAGGAGTGAATTGGAATCCCTTTGTTTGGGATATGTAATTGTCCCGCCTTCTTATATTTCGTGCGAGGCGCTAGAAGTGGATAAGCAGCCTTACCATATAGCAAGAATTGTGGTGCGGAGGAAGATTGATCAATTTTTGCTTAATGGAATCAGATCTCCGAGTTCCCAAAATCGATATTACTGGCTTGTCTTGCTTGTGCACTTGAAGGCATCAAGATGACTTGGTTCTAAGTGTGTAGCCGAGTTATCCGGGGAATCCCCCTTTAGTATGAAAGCAGTCGACCCTGGTGCCTGGAATAAGATTCAGTACCAAACAATGAATAGAAAGAATTAACATTCAATACGAATTGGTCTGTCTTGCAGTAACATTCAATGTACGTGTATCAAATTAGGAAATACTGTACACTTCTGCAATACAACTGTGTGCAGATCAACTTCATTTTCTAACCTCTCAAAAATGAGCATTTCCTTCGCCCGTCCGTGATGGAATGCTACAATCACAGTCCTCGTAAGACAAAATATGTAGACCAACGGGAAGGATTAGACGAGCATGATCGGTACAGAAACCTGGCCTTGTGTTTAACTTGAAGGTAACTTGATGGAAAACTGAAGTGCACCCTGCCAGTGCTGCATATCTACTCCCATGTGCGTCAACGTAAGCTCATGAAGTAACCCTTACTTTATCCAACTCGTCTTCTCTTTGCAGTTTAGATTTAGCTGCAAAATTTGTAAATGTTGTGCCATTCCACTTACTCAATTCTTCCCTTCTTGAACTGGCTCAACATGTTTGAGCATTAAGCAGCAATGTGAAGTTTAAAAAATACACATGTAGGTAGATGTCCATATATATATATATATATATATATCTTCTTGATATTCTGTCTTGTACCCTAACCACCAAGATTCTTCAAATTTTGATCACTCTAAGAATTTTCACTTCAATTAAATATCATATGTATATTTTAATTTGATATTGTACTTGGACAATAATACATTTTTTTGAAGCAAGGTGTCTTTTTTTGGATTACTCTCATTACCTTTCATTATTAGTTTACTCTCATCACCCTTAAGCTACCAAGATAAATGGGCATATCAAGAAATTTTCAATGTATATAAATTCTTGAATTAAATATACATTTAGATCATAGAATAGAAATTTTTTATTTTTCATTAATATAGTTAGGATGGATAGGTCAATCTAGAAAAATACTTGGATCAATTTAACAATTCTCGTAAATACTATAATTATATTTATTTATTGTTAAGCTTATATATATATATATATATATATATATATAAAAATTTATTAAAATAAGAAATATTGTTTAAAATTAAATCAAGTTATTATAAAATATGTAAGTTAAATAACATGTTATATTTTTTAATATTTAATAATAACACTTTTACAACATTATAAAAGATTAAAGAAGAATAATAATTTTATATATGCAACAAATACTTTTTATGGCATATTATTATTTTTTAAAATGTGTATAAGTTATAAAAATTTTGAGAATATTATACCAAGACTTGGAATTTGTAAAATTTTGAAATCACATCTTTTATGATTTGTCTAAAAAACATTTACTTCCAAAAAAAAAATTATATGAATATATAGAGACTTTTAAACATTTTATTAAGAAAATTATTTTGTTTTTTTATAGAAAAAGACTGCTTTTCTTTCAATATATTATCTATTAATGAAAGATGATAATAGAATTTATATAATGCAAAAATAATTAATCAATTTTCTTTAAAATAATCTTCTTATAAATTTTCTCAATTACTTCTGTAATGCCTTAGAATAAAGATTGAATAAATTATTGATATTTTTATTTCTGTAAAATAGACCTTTTAATTTTATCAACCACAAATTTATTATCTGAAAGATTAAGTATGATCACATTACTTTTAAGTTCAATATGAATTTATTAACAAACAACCTTTTGTAGCAAATATCTATATCACTTATATAAATAGAATAAATTAGAAGTAGAAGTAAAATATGATATGTAGATAATATCTTTCTTAAAAATAAATTAAGAAAGTTTTTTTAAATGCAAATTGGATCTTTAAATTCCTATAGATATGTAATTTGGCTATTAGAACTTGTTCTACAATTTTCTTACTTTTAGAGAGCAACATTGGAAGCAACTTACAACTTTACACTTGAGCCACAAGTCTTATGGTCCTTAAGAAGCTTCCAAAGGGTCTTCGTGGTAGTTAGTAAATGGAGATAAGAGTAAGATCACCTTTAATCTTGTCAATGCCTTTTTTGTATTTCAATCTTAGTTCAAGACTCTCTATTCTTTTTGTATTTGGCAAAAAGTATTCTACTTTATTATTATTATATACCTATCTATTCTTTCATTACTTTCTCCTTTATTTAGTGATATGTAAATATAATATTTTTTAAGTTTTTTCTACATTCATGTCCTTAACATCTTTTAAATGCAACAAAACTTTAGTTTTTATTTAAAGATATTTTTGACAACCAAGAATATAGAAAGTCATCAAAAAAATAAGTATGATGTGGTGATTGTTCATAGACAAAGTCTTTACATGTTAACTATATAAACATTCTTGACCATTATCTTTTCTAAAACAACTATGATTATATGTTTTCATAAGTTTTATTATTAAGCTCTAATTTCAAATTATTAAAGCAATATTTACAATGTACTATAATTTTTTGTTAAAAAATGATAAAAACTCTCTTGATACATGAAGATATTTTATATGTTTATTTTATATATTTTTGAAATAACAAACAATTTTTTAAAACATAATTGACTAAATGGTATGTTTTCAATGACCCATTTTAATAAAAAAATTAATTTTATTTAATTAGGAATAAATATCAAATACTTAAAATATAAGATAAAAGATTTTATGATCAACTTTTTTAGCCAATAAAATATTATACAATTTTTTTGATATTTTTTTTAAAAATATTAATTATAAAAAACAGTAGCAAACATACTGAGAACTTTAAATCGTAAATAAATTTTTCTTAACATTCTTATAAATGTATATTTCTAAGAATATATTTTTTCTAAATACAGCTCTTTTTTTTATCAGCCATTGTACAATTATAAGAAAGATATTGTCGTGATGGAAAATATCTACTAATAACACTAAATTATTGATTATAATATAGAATATTTTCAAAATCAAGTAAAATTAATAAAGTCAAAACTCAACCTTCCTTCAATAATATAATCTTGCTTATAAGAAAGATGAAGGTTACACTAAATATTAAAACTTTGTATACTAAATTCTTTTTACTTATTGCAACTATACTATTGATTTAATCACACCCACACCACACATTATTGATTTTCTATTCAATATATATACATACATATATATATATATATATATATATATTCATTCAAAAATTGAATCTTGAATACATTTTTAAGTTTTAACATAGGCAATGTTGTGGGTGTTGAAGCAAGAAATGCAGTTGAGGTGTGCAGACACAAGTGAGGAAGATTGGCTCACCAAAGCAAAGCAAAGCAAAAAAAAAGCAAAGATTGTGAGACCAAGCTAAGTTACATGAGATGCTCAGTAGGTCTATAAATAAGTGAGTGATGTGCAAAATTGGCTCTTAATAGAGTCACTCAGCACCATAGTAGCAGTAGCAACAACAGCTTACAAATACTGCCAGAAATCAATCAAAAAGTTTACAATTGATTTTAAATGTCAAGTGCAACCAGAAATGCCAATATTACATGTTGTAGGGATCACAAGTTTCAATACTTCATTTATCATTGGTGTTGTTTTTTCTAAAAAGAAATGAAACGTTTCTTTTGTTGGACATTAATCTAACTTTAAGAAGTACATGGAGAAATTCGACCCATTTGCATTGGTATTGATAGGGATTTAACATTAATAAATGCCATTGAATTAATATTCTCCACTTCAAATGCATTACTTTGTATTTTTATATACAAAAATATATATTAATAAATTATAAAAAATATTTTTCAAACAAAGTAGAGTAAGGACGGTCTTAATTCCTTATAGATTAGACCATTGTGATTAGTACATGTTCTGTAGAGCTTTTTATTTGGAGTGGACTAATATTTGCAACAAGTACATTTCTACTATTGCTTATGCAGATATTCAGTATTTAAAAAACACTTGGATATTATATAGGAAGATATTTATTAAAGCTTGAACAAATAATCTACTTTATCTTAGAAGTGTGACTATATCACAAGTAGAGGGTCAATATTCAATATTAAAATCTTACTTAAAATTTTCCACCAAAGACCTTAGAGAAAAGTTCAAATTTCTCTCTTTCATTCTTTTAAAAATACAATAAAAAAATTGAAGGTTCAAGAAAGTTCAAAACAAATCCATGTTGCACCTCAATACAATATTGGTTTCTTCTCTAATGTTGTGAAATGTGTATCTTTATATGTTTTTAATCTTAAATTTGAGCAATATAGACAATTAAGAGTAAAATCAATGAATTTAATTTTTCTTTCACAAGAAAAATGACAAATAAATTAGGTCTACTAGTTAAGCATTAAATAAGAATTTTATTGAGAAGAAGAGATGTTTTTATCAATTAGTGATTTTCATCATCAATGTTACTTAGTAAATATTCTTAACCAATTTATTCTAATATCATCTATAATTTCATTCTCTTTTGTTAGTTTACATTATTGTATAGTATAATTTTCTATCTAAGAATACATTGGATACCTAGTTGTAGAGAGTTTAGTTTTAATTCGTCGGCCAAATTCCAACAAGCAATTTATTTTTATTATAGAAGATAAATAAATATAATAATATAAAAAATATATTTTAATATTTTTTTATATTTAAAAAGGTTTATACATAAGGCTTTTTAAAGCCTCTAAAAATGCCCTAGCATCCTTTGCTATACCAAATCATAACTAACTATTTGCTGATAAGTTAGGTTTTCCATAAGCTCAAAAAAAATCCATAATTTTCTTACAAAAATCTATCTTTATACTATAATTTTTCCATAGCTCTATATTTCTATCTTTTACATATATATAAAGTCTTGGCTCTCAAAAATCTCTTTACTTTGCATAAAATGTCCAAATTGTAGCAAAATCTTTTCAAAATATTTTTCTCCTACAAAGGATTTTTATTCTCTAAACTTTAGAATATCATATTTCTTGATCCAACCATTCAATTTTTTTAAAAATTTCTAAAAAATTTAGCATTTATTCTTAAGCTTTACCACAAAAAAAAAAAAAAAAAAAAAAAAAAAAATGTAAATCTACTACAAATCATTTGGCATCTAAGAAATCCTAGCAGATGCTCTAAATCCTAATTTACAAACACATGAATACTATTTTCTTTATATCTCAAAAATCCAAAATCCAAATGCCAAAAAATTTGGTATAAGTTTTAAAACATAGTAATACATATTCATAGAAATATTTACCTAAAAATTTGTCTAAATGGCTAAGTTATGGTTGGAACCAAATCCCTCATAAAATTGGCTCACTAACAAACCTCAATTTGGAAAGGCAATCTTCAAGCAATTATTGCTCCTCTAAATCAACTCCAAATCTTTTATTTTTTTTATGCAAAATTTAGTCTTTTAAACCAAATTTTCAACCTGAAAATTTGATCTTCAAAAGGTCTTTATACGCATGTGCTATGTTCCAAAGAGTGAAAATAGATACGAAATCAACACCTTAATTTTGAGTTTCTATATCTTCTTTACAAAAATTCCAAATTATATAAAATTTTCACTTAAACTATATCCAAAATCCTAAAATTGATGATCTTAATCTTTGATATTAAAATGGTCTCAAAAGGGTAATCCTTATTCCTAATAAGACCTGGGATAGCCTCTTTGAAATCCATTGGGCATGAATTTTAGCCAATAGGAATAAAAATTTTCATCATCTATTTCCATTCATCCTTATGGTTGGCCTAACTACCTCTTTTTATACAAAATCCTTCTCTAATCTTTTTTCTAATAAGTTTTATATAGTAAGTATCCTAAGTACTAAATAAATAAAATAAAATAAAATTTCAAGAGTCATTAATGTCTAGTAAAAGTGGCTCTCACTATATTGTATAATAAATTATATATTAAATATATATGTATATTATTGTCACATGGTAGCCGAAACATTATATAATAATGTCTACTTTATTATATTATTAATAGAACTTTTGATATTTTAGCTCTTCATCAATAAAAAAAATCTACATAAAAGAAAAGTTGAACTTTCAAAAATAACTATGTGATTGAAAAATTGACAAGTGAATCACCCAAAGAGAAGACCATAAGGAGCAAGAAGTAGAACTAGAAGTGACATGCATGCAAAAACATCAACACAACAATTTACATCACAGTTTGAGTTTATAGAGGCAAGAATAAGGAGGCTCTTTTGCAGCAATTGCAAGTTAATAGAACATAATATCTGCACATATCCTAAAAGGACAATATTTCTCTTATAATTGTTTAGAAATAATATTCAAAAAAAATAGGGTTCAACAGTATGTTTGAACAATTATTTTAAAAAAATATTACATATAGTCATTTAAAAAATTATAAATGATTATTACTTCAAGTAATATTAGTTATTAATTAATTTTATAATAATAAAGTAAAAATAATATATCTAACATCATTTTTTATTTAATATTTATTAAATTTTTAAAACAATATTTTCATCCAAATTCTATTTAAGTGATATTCAAATTTTATTTTTTAAAAAAATAATTTAAATGAATTTGGCCATATAGAAAGAATATTTTGTTTAAATTGCAATTGTAATGAGTGTGAAAAAATGGCCTATTAAAAAGCCCAACCTTACCCTTGATCAGCTTCACAATGTCACTCAACATACAATATTTTTCAATCAATAACATGAAAATGTACATGTCGATAGTAGAAGTAATCTGTGCATTTGAAAAAAAAAAAAATCCACCATTACTTTCCATCACATACCATCCAAAATCTCACACCTCCATATCCTCAACAATCAATAAATATCCCACAACTAGATAATCACTAGTATTAGTACTTAAAGAGTTTTCATCAAGCATTACTCAAGTTAGGACAACTAGCTAGTAAAGGAACATTGAGAGATTATATTTTGTAGATGCACTGTTGCAATGCAGTGAATAGGCAATTGTGATACTATTATTGTTGTTGATACCTATTTTTGGAATTTGGAATAGGAATACAAAGTCTCGACTTGAATTCATGAGTATTAGTTACTATCAAAAGCTCAGTAATAAGTGCATGAAAACAACTCCTATGGCAAGATTGTGGATTAAAAAACATCATGGAGAGTTAATTTCAAAATCCTTAATTCAAACAAAAAAATGCCAAAAAATTCAAAAAAAATCATATTAAGATATTTGCCTCACAAAGATGATTGATCCATAGGACTTTAGAGCATTGAATATTATAATTGCTTAACTCCAAAACTTTGGATTCAAAGCAAAAAAATATTTAAAAAATTTTAAAAAATAAAGATAATATTGTGCTATAGTATCTATCTCATAGAGATGATTAATGCATAGGATTTGAAAGCATTAAATATTGCAATTGCTTAATTCTAAAACCTAATACTTGATTTACTAAAAATATTAAGCATCATCAAAAGATTAGCTTTGATGCAAGAAATTTACTACAAAACTTTAAGATCTAGACATTCTTTTTATACTTTATAGCATACAACAAGGGCTACAATCTAACAAACATAGTACAAAAAAAAAGCCAAGCATGTGATCTAGATATAATATTAAGGTTCTTCTCTATTGTGGTTGCAAAAAGTATCATAGCCATATCCAAGCTCCTTCCTTCAACTAACTTACTTATAATCAATACACATAGTATCAATTTTTAATATATTCCATATATCTCACCTTCAAAAAAAATGGCATGCTCATGTAATAATTTGAATGTCATTTACAAGGTCCTCTAATTTTGAAAATCCTAACTTCTCCAACACCATCACCATCCCTCCACCTTTTTTCTATCAAAGGACTATACAAAGCCAGCCATCACACATTGTACTTCTAAGAGAGAGAGAACATACAATTATTGCAATAATAACTCCACGTTTTCAATCCACAATCATAAAATCTCAATTTTAGAAAGAAAAAGATATTGATTACATTTGCAACAACCACTATCAAGTCAACCTTTAAGAATATATATTATTGCAAACTTGAGAAAGAAACTCACAAATACATGGGTGTTGTAAAACAATAGCTACTGTTGATGGTCCATAAACCACAATATTAATTATACATAAGCTCTTGTACTCTCATATACTCAAAGAGCTATAAAATCATTTTGACAACGATTGGCAAGCTTTAAACTTTCATGGATCCTACACAAACACTATGAGGCCTTTAGAAGCTAGTCTTTGCAATAATCATTGCATAAGTTTCTGCAACATACTTCCAAGATCTTGCATCAAAGTGTGAGGGTGGCAGGGAAGCCATGCGGAGAGGAAGGTGGTAAAGAAGGGAAGGCCAACCCATCTCTCTTCTCAACATAGAGCAAAGTAATGAGATAACATGTGGCACATTCCTCCTTCTTTTAAACAAATAATTAGGATTCTAATCAAGGACTACCACAGCTAATAATTGTGGATGGCAGCAATGAAGATTAAATTATCATAGTTGTGGATGAATGTGCTTTCTTTTCATTGGTTGTAGAACCAATAGTAGATAAATGAATCTAGAGACAATTGTTTTTTCATAATTGTGATGATGGGTGGGTTGCTTTAGTAAAAATTTGGGTCGTTTTATCGATGCACACACTCTACACCTCTCTGGCCCCCGTCACAAAAGGAGAGGTGAAGCATGCATCTTGTTACATCACCACGGTATCATATATTCATCCATCCACCCATCCATTGACGCTTAGGGTTCCCGCCTTTTTGGGGTCGCTAGTTGTCGCGGGGTTCAAACCCAGTTCCCGTCCGATTCCCGCCAAGACGACGACGACGATGACGAGGCGTAGCCCGGGGGGGGGGTGCTAATGCTGGCTGGCCATGGGGGGGGGGGGGGGGATTGGCTGGTTGTCTGCCCAACCACTCTCTCCTGGGCTGTCTCTGGGTGTGTGTCCGCGCGTGCCTGCGTGCTTGCGCCTCTCTCCTCTCCCTACTACTAGTACTTGTACTACCACTCTCCTAGCTCCTGTCCTCATCTCCTCTTCGTCTGCCCCATGACCTCCCCACCCCCTTCCCACATCTGCGTTCTTGCTTCGCTGCTGCTGTTGCTTACTTGGCTACTGGCTTTGCACTGTCTCTCTCTCTGCTCCTTCCTTCCCTCCTTCCTTCTCCCCTGCTCAGAATCATCGTTTTTTTCCGCCTCAACAGCCGCGTTGTCATCGTGAGGCAAGTCTGAGCTTGTGAAACAGGGTAGCATGTTCTGTTGATGGCTTTGTCCGCGAGGGGAAGGCTCGACAACCAGGTTTCTTTCGCATAGTTGCTGGCACCCAGTATATATGCAGAATCGTTGGCGTTTGTCAGAGATTGCACTGTAACAGCCACTTTGGAGGCGGGTACTTTAATGAAATAAAAGTTAACTTGAGGTGAATGGGAATCGGCGAGTCGTTAGCTCGAACCGCTGTCTGATAGCACATGCAAAACCGTCGATCGCTAGATTTCGGTGGATGTTGTAGATGTACTTGAGTCTTAATTTTGGAGGAAGTAGTTGTTGGAGATTGCGCTTGCTCAGGAGTGAGCTCTTTCTCTCCGTTCCCATTCATTTGCAATGCGAAATGGAAGGGTAGGAACCACTTTTGAGAGCATTCCAGATGCCGTCCTTGTCAAGATATTTGCTTTACTGCCGTCCTCGCAGATTGCGAGCTCCTGCGCACTTGTGTGCAGAGCATGGCGAGACTCCACCTGTGATGCGACCCTGTGGAGCGAATTGTGTGAGGGCTCTGGATTGAGAGGAAATGACGCAATGCAGTGCCTTGGCGGATGGAAGGGTTTATTCGGTTCCGTCTACGGCGTCAATTTGATCGCTTCTCCATACTTCGAACGAATTCATTACCTCGACGCCGACCGACTCAAGCATCAATTCTTGCGGCCATGGGAGCCCAAGCACCGGCTCATTATCGACCGTATTTGTAGAACTGATGAATGCGACGAAGAGCCTCATTTCTATGGCTACTGAGCAACAGAGGGTGGCTCAGTTTTCCAGCGCGGTGGTGGCGACGGTGTATTGCGTGAGTGTCCCGCATCTGACTGCTCTCCTTGTCCTGTTGCCGTGGATAAACTCCTTATGGCGACCTCTTGGCACTGGGGTAAGGTGCAGCAGTATGTTGGTCTCCAAACATTTTCCAACAAGTTCCTGAATTGCAGTCCTCCCATGATGTTTTCAATCTGGTACGCGGACAGGAAAGGCGATCCTAGCGTGTTCAAATGTCAAGTAGTAATCCGAGATGAGCTGAAAAACGTCATCTTCAGCTGGTATGTTTTCGTTTGCGGGTTCTGTCAGTTTATTAGACCGTTCTGTGACGGTTTATTTTTAGGTTGGTCTGGCGCCCTTTCATCCATGCAAGCCTTACCGACAATGATTATGAATGAGTTCGGACGTGCATGTTAAAATCTGCGTGCCCCCCCTCAAATTCTCCATCCTGACTCAGCACAGTTGCCTTATTGCAGGGAATCGGGTGAACTTGAAACCACGGAGAATAAATGGAAACTAGTAAAGCACATCGTTCAGAAGTATCCACCAGTAAGTCAGTTCGCATTCTGTTTCTGGATTTTAGGCGGCAGGACTTGTGCGGTGAATAGAGATGTTACTGAGGAATTTATTCAAATTGGTCCAGGGTGTTTGATCATCAGGGAAAGGTGTCCTGTGGAAAGCTGCTAATCCTTGTTCGCCACAGGGATTGCGATCAATCGTGGTCAAAGCCGCTGGAATGAGCATTAACCACAGCAGTGGCTTCCACAGACCCAAATTCACATCTGTAAAGCTACAATTCGTGCCGCTTAACGAGGTTTGTCAAAGGATACCACAATACCACAGATACTGTACTCTCTGTTCTCTCAATTTGTACGCTGCGAAGTTGGGTTTTGATAATAAGTTCTGACAGCGAGCTCCGTTGGTAAATGTGCAGGTACCGTTGTGTATTGATGAACCTGCGTGCAAGAAATTTTCACATTTTTGAAGTTCAATCGTCAAAGTGAATTTCCATTTGCCGAGTACTCAGAACTCGTGAAAGTGAAGAGCTGCCAGAAGTGAAACCCTTATCCCTTCTTCCAAGTGACTTTTAATATGAAGAAAGTGGAGTTCACCCATAAATGATGCAGCAAGTTTGTATTATTATTCCTGATCGACTATCAAATTGACACCACGAACTATTTTTTTTCCTCACTGAATATTTTACGATATCTCTTGTACGCTCTATAAAGATTTGTGCATTCGCGGGCGGCTGAATTCATTTCAAAAAAAACCGTTGATTTTATTCTCTCAACCAAATTGCTGGCACAAGATGCTTCATGTGTCCAATACACTCTTCTTCTCTGCCAATTTCTTTCCAGCCTGGTGGCTTGACCGAGCAGCATCCTGTGTGTCATACACGTTGACCTTTTTGAAGCCTGTGTCACGTTGACCTTCCAGAAATGCTGTCACTTTCCACTCTGCATTTATAAGTGGCAACTTGAATCATCTCAGAACGAGGCCATTGCCAGAGCTCCTCATTGCGTCTTGCGAGGCGCTTTGACCCGCCGACACTCCACTACGAGAGAAATTCCGGAGCTAATGTAATATTCACGCACTCTGGCAGCAAGAGAGTGCACACCTTGTGTCTTAACTGATACTTCCTTGGTCTACATACCTCATGGTATGTGTTTCAAAGCAGCATTCCAATTATTAATGGATGTGGCATACAGTATCCACAACTTCCCCTCACCACAAGGAAACTTAAAATAACATAGTTGATTCTTTCAGAGTGTCAATTTATATATTATCGTTGTTCCAAGAAATTAATTAATATGAATTTAACCTGCCCAACATTGTATATCTGTTGTAAAGTGTAGGTGTATACCATCAATTCTTGTCTCAATCATTTCATTATCACTTTTCAAATATTTTTTGTAATAGAACCCTAATATCTATTTTGTTTGCCCAAGGACACTTTCATTTTATACAGCTATAGTTCAATAACACAGTAAAGCAGTTCTACTCTTTCTTTTTAACTCATACATATTAATAAAATAATTTGGTATTGAAATATACACAAAAAAAAGATATATTCTAAAAAATTAGTACATATCCCCCCTACTTAGAAAGGAAGTGGCATTGGATAATGGTGTTTTAAATTAACATAATTAAAAAAAGAAGAAAGATTTGGAAAGAATGTAGCTTGTTTTTGAATAAATACAAAGTTTAAAGACACTTCATTTTTATAATGTTGGTGAAAAGTTAGTCATAATCTAACATAATAGATCCTTGAATAAATAAGCACTTCTAAAAGTTAGGGATTATTAAAGAGAATAGATCAGCTTAAGATAAAAGTTAGGGAATCACATTTAGAAGTGCCAACTTATTCAAGGAACATATCTTTTTCATAATTTGTTCAAGTGAAAATAATTAAATTATCTACTAATAAACTAGCAATAAAAAAAATCAAATAATGAATATTTGTGCTATTTAGAGAAATATTGAAAATATTAAAAAAAATTGGAACAACAATAAATGATTATTTTAAAAATTCTTTAAATATACTTAAAATATTAAAATATTGTGATATATTTTTAAATATATATATATATATATATATATATATATAGAATTTATAAAATCATACAAACCTACAAATGTAAACCTCTTAAATCAACAAGTTGTTTGTGTTTGAATAAGAGTGCCTTGGATTTAAATTAGCAACAAATAAGGCTAATACCACAATATTTTCTATTCTGATATTATCTTTTTCAAAATAATAATCATGAAGTACTCTTTGTACTTTGAAATATTTAATAAATGAAATTTTATTACATAATTATTTGATCCAAAACATAATAAGCCTTTATACAAGTTTGTTAATAATGATTTATTGGATAAGTATATAGAAAAACAGAAATAGAAGATACTTTAAGCAAGTTTCTCTTTTCTTTTCTTTCTTATTTACTTTTAATTTTTTTTGTTAAATGGTTTTTACCGTTTATAATGAGGTATAAAGTTCAATAAAATAAGATAAAATAATTGGATCAAGAACTTGATAATTATCAGAAAGAGGAGTATAAACAAAATGCATTTTTTTTTCCTACTAATTTAATTATTGCTATTATGGTTTTTTTTAGCAACATATATTTCCTCAGGATGTAATGACTAGTAATCATTTTTATTGTGTGCATTTTTCTTAAATGTACAAGTAGAATTTAGAATAGTGTTAGGATTTTATGTAATAATCTATTTTATTAATTTAGAAGTCAATAAATAAAATAGTTTTTAAAAGTAAAATGAAAATAGAATTGAAATAGGATTATTGATTTCTAAATCGTCAAGATTTTTCTTAAAGTACTTGGACATAAATCACCTCAATATTATTAACTCCAAATATGTATAATTTGTAAAACAAGTTAAACAAATACATTTTTTCATGTAGAATTTTAAAAATAGAAGTGTAAAGCATACTCAATCAACAAACTAATATTAAAAGTAAGAAATGAAAGGAATTTTAAGACAAATATTAAAATTAATAATAAATACTTGGTGAGATAGAAGAAAAAAAAAATCTTAAAAAATCATAAAAAAAGTCACTTTACATTGTTATCTACAGAAACAAACTAGAAAAGTGCAAGAGTTTCTTACTAGCAACTATTGACATTATTGGAAATAGTCTTGTGGGGGTTGAGGAGACGTTTGTAAATAGCAACTACATCTTATTTAATTGTGACTGTATTATTTTTGAGTTCAATATATATTTGTACCATGCTTGAGGTGCACAAATAGATTTTGTAGGTTGGGTGTTTTGTGAATAGAAAGAGGAGGGAGAGAGGGAGTATGAAGGTTCTAGGTTAGGGATAGAGACAGAATTAATCATGAGATGGCAAGGGAGGGTGTGCCTTTAACAACTCCCTATATATATATATATATATATAAAATAAATAATCATAAAAACAAATTTAAAAGTTAAAAAAAGTTTGTAATTATTTTTTGTAATTTGTAAAAACTATGCTGAATTATTATCTATTTATATTAAATTTATAGTAATTTATCTTCTATTGTGAAAATAAAATATTATATATATATATATATATATATATATTTTGTAAAAAAGATTCAGTAACATAATATCCACACCATTAGAAGAGCAAACAAAATTTTGATGTAGTGATTGAAACTTGTACTACTAATAAAAAGATTTAGAAAATACAACCTGTACATTTATTAGTATAAAAGGCCAAGATCATTTTCTTTGTAATTTTTTAATAAGAAGTTATATGCAAATGATAGTAAATAGAAAAAAAAAAAAATAAATAAAAAATAGCAAGGTGGTATGATCCTTCAATTTTCAATAATATTTATTTATATAATACGAAAAATATTACCATTAATTTTCTCAAAACGTAATTTATTTTTCAAAATGATAATGATTTTAAAAATAGCTATAGATTTTTTAATATTTTTAGATAGAAAAATGAGAAGAAGACTAAGTAAACCGTGTTGCCAATTCGGTGTCTGTCCAGGAAATTTGGAAATGCGAGGTGTAATTTACAGTTGATTTTTGCATAATAGTTAGCGATGGCACTGCTGGCAGCAGAAATCAACTAGAATTTTGCAAGTTTGACTGGGTCACATTTCCATCCTTAATCCTCAATATTTAACGTTTGAGAATTTCAACCGTTCATCCAGAAACAGAACCTGAGAGAGATGCCTCACACAACACACTGATCCCAACACAAAAATTGCAAAAACAGTGGCGGAATTCCACACATCAGAAGAGGTGCAAAGGCTTTTGAGGACATTACGACACCAGGGCAGTATAACCCTCGTATCATGTTCTTATAAACAACTGACGCAGTTAGATCAACATGTATCGTGCAGCATCTGAACACCAGAGTATCAATCAAAGAAGCATCTGACATGGAAACCGAGACATTCCACCAGGAAACAAGTACAGATGCCGATAGAATACTACGTATACTTCAGTAGAGGCATGGAAGATCTCTAAGCACTATTCTCGCAGCAGCCAACAAACAGAGGACTGCTGGCATATAATTCTACTATCTGCTTCCGTTACCACCTAGTGAAGCCAGCGTACTGCTACAATCCCGAATGAGAAGAGAAAATAATTTCTTTTATGAAAAAACATAAGGGTCTCTTCTTCGCACTCCAACACATGATACAACTGTACAAGCACACTGCTGGCCTGTCGCCGCTGCTTGCTTGCTCAGTGGCAAAAGGACCCATCTCCAAAGCAGTGTGCATCAGGAATCCATGCAACAATATAACAGTATAGGGTACGCTTGAATGATAGTTGAGAGTCTGCACAACTGCTACCTTGAGGAAAAGACAGCCTTCAACCTGCAAATGGAACTTCCAGCGTGCAGTTGCATAACTCGGGCTTCTCTGCAAAGCCCCTCCAAACCTCCACCTAATCGGAACTGAAGGGAATTCTTTCATCTCCGGATTCTATTGCAATTCTCCACCTTCGGTACCTGACTCCAAGTTTATCGTATGCCACAGGGACGTTCCACACGTTCGCACCTCTTTCCATCCGATCCTGCTGACCTTCCACGAGTCTCAAGTCTTCACCCAACACCTGAAGCGAACTTAAATATCTCGGTCACTATGCCACACATTTGCCTCATTTTCTTTCCACAAAGAAAGACTCCAAAAGGTCAAGACTACACTACTCAAACTTGACGGCTTTCCTAAAGTCAATGTTTAAAGTTCTCATTCATATGAATATTGGAAAGCACACCTTGTTCGCAAGGTGTTGCCATAAGTACTTGATGAACGGAACATGCTTGAGGTACGGGGCGAAATCTAAGGCCATCCGATACAACAAACGCGTTTTGCCCTTTGATGAAGGCATGCAAACGTGGAGCTGGTGGAGGTGTGTAGGACAAGCTTCCACATCAGAACCATTTAGCTTGCCAGGCTTCTCTAACCCAATGGTGGAGAGCACCATGCATGGAGGTTTAAACTCCATAGCTATGGGGTACGGGTCCCAAGTACCTTGCAGAGCTGCAATTGGAGTCCTAAATTTCACAAAGCTGAAAGCACATACACCCGAGTAAAGCGTATAATTAATCTCTGTGAAATGAACAAGGGGAACAGAAAACCAACGGATGTCAAGTACCTCAGAAGTACAGATACGTATGCGATCACACTTACTTAGGGACATCCCAACCCTTGGCAAAAGTGGTGGTATGAGTGAAAGGCGCATGAGCCAAATCCAATAAGTTTTCTACTAGCAATCCGTGCTCCACTGGCAACTCCATCGTAATCTGTACAGCATCTCTTGGTTAGTTAGATTTCGTTTTCGTGATTTCATTCTTCAAATGAAATTCGATTATTTTAAGGAGGTTATTGATTGAGCACTTCCAGCAAGAAGCTAAGATCATAAAGAAGGCATACTTGCACACATTGAACGCACCTGTGCATGAATAGTATAATGCGATGGAGGATTCAAACAAGGAAGATTTGTAGACGGGGTTTCATTTCCAGGCCATATCCATACCATGCCGTCCTGCTCAATGCAAGGAAGAGAATCGAGCTTTGCATTCACAAACCTCGTAGATGGCATCTTCTCGCATTTACCAGATGTGTTGTATTCCCATCCTGTTTCCTCAACCTTTTACAAATCAGCTATTACCTGTTTTAAGACAATACTGCATATCTAGTCGATTGATTCTACTTATCTCAGCAAAACATATATGGTTTCACTGATGGATACAGGTCCATTTCTCTTACAACTCTTAAAACTTGCAACATCTTTAACACAAGCTTAATCCTGACATGCCAATCCCAAAGTGCAGTTAACAACATCGACGATAGATATAGACTTCTAGTTTAGAGAGACTAGATACAAAAGTATCACTGAAACTAACTCACCATGGTAGGGACACTGTATCCGTCCCTCCTCAACTTTCCCAAGCGATAGTGGACATGCCCTGTGTGCGCAAGAATCTCGCACGCATCCTGGACGGCCATCTTTCCCTCGAAAAATAACCCATGCTTCTTCAAAGCTATTAAACGGCACCTGATACAGCTCATTACAGGATCAACCTTTCGTTAAGCCAGGGTAAAGCGACAAATAAGTTCATGGCCAGGCTGTTGAAAGACCAGACAAAGATTCACAACGCATGTACAATACTGGACAAAAAGTCACGAGTGGTCTTCACCATGGTTTTATCGTCAATGTCGGCAGAGAAGGCCACCGGATACCAATAATTCTTCAACTGCGCAGGATAAGGACCTATGGGACCAGAGACTTCAAGGGATTTTGCTCTCGACGTGTTAGTTCTGGGACGTGCACTTAAATCAGCCTCCGCCTCTCCCGTAAGGGCCAGTTGCAGGGCCGAGGTAGCTTTAGGAACAGTACTTCCTCGCTCTCTGCCTTGGTTCTGCAGCAACTTAGTATTGAACAGTGATTCCATCTCACCAAGCTTCCGAAGAGTATGTTCCACTCTGGCCTCCGACAAATGGACCTGCCTCACAGATATATTATCTTTGTCATTCTGAAAAGCAATGACTGCACTGTTGAGGAAGGCGTAGCATTTGATTGAAGGATCGTGGAACCCCGAATGGACGAAGGACGATTGGTTACTGTGACTACTAATCAACAGACTAGGGTATGCTTGAAGGACCTTTGCATTCCAGGGTATCCTTGATAAACAACTTCGACTTCACAATGGTGCGGGTTCCATGGATAGAATGTAATGCTAGGTCCTCGTTGTCACATCTTGGGTACTTCGTATCAAGTGTAACGATAATGCTTTAGGATTGAGGTGTAAAATGTGTATCAATGATACTAATACACAGTAGCAGATCTGGAATCCTGACTCGCACCTGGGCATGAGCTTTGGAAAGTTCCTCCTGCAGTCCAGCGAGCTCGGAGCGAAGAGTTTCGACAGATTTGACATCTCTCACAAGAGGGTTCAGCACTTCAACAACCTGTTGCAAGCCATTTTTTTAACTCAATGTACCCTAACACATTCCCATTCGCAAAAGTGATCACCTAGGCAGGACGCAAGAAGGTCCCAATTGAGTCCATCGCTAAAGACTACATAAATTGAAGAACCCACCCAAGTGCAACAGGAATCTGACCTTGTCGTGGGCGTGGACAATTGTGAGTACGTCTTGCCGGGCCTTCCAATCCAGATACAGCACATCCTGGCGCAACAGCTCCCACGCAGTATTCACGTCAATGGTGCCCTTCTTCAGCGACGAACTAGCCCCACGCGGATCCTCCACGTCAAAAATCCTCACAATCCCCGCCTGCTGATCCTTCCTGCTGGAGCTCTCACTCATCCCCAAGCACTGCACCACTCTTTTCCCTCGCCCCTGGTCCTTTCCATGGCCGTAGCGCCTCCACACGCTAACAACTTCTCTGTCCCGGGTACCAGAACCTATCCACACAGCCTTACCGGCCATACCATAATTCAAGTGAAACACAGTTGCAATGGAAGAAGAGCAACCCCCGCTGCAGCACTCCAAATGGGTCGTCGAGCACAATCCCACTCCCGGATTCTCCACGACGCGCATGGACGGCGGGGCAGCGGCAAGTCCCAGCCCCGGCGCCATGGAACCACCCAGACAGACAGACGACCTCCTCCTGGTGCTGGTGCTGGTCGACCTGATGGTGGTGATGGAGGGAGGAGCAGCCCCTGGTGGTGGTGGTGGTGGCGTATCGACGTCCCAACTCGATGCGAGAATCGCACCTGGGCAATGAATGAATGACAGGCAGGGCAGAGCAAGGACCCCCAGACACGGAGGCGGGGAAGGGGGGGGGGGGGATGACGAGGAGACGCAGGCACCAGAGCACACCACCACTGCACCATCAGCAGGCAGCGCAAGGCCCAGGATCCTAACCTCACACCTCCGACCCGACTTGGATGCCCGAGGGGTGGGGGCACTTCAGAGAGATGCTGCTGCGGCAGGCGCCCCGAGTTCCCCTATCGTATCCGGAGGGCCTGTGGGGGAGCGCCACGCTGGCAGGGAGGGGGCCAGGAGCGAGCCACAATACATCTGGGCCACGCCCTCCCCCCCTCCCCCGCCCCCGTCCCCTGCGTTGGCTCCTGTTTCCCTTCTTCTGGGCTCCATGTTTTCATCCATGGTCACCTCCCTCCTCCTCCTCAATCCCCTCGTCTCCTGCTGCTGCTGCTGCTTCTTCTCCTCCTCCTTTTTTCATTACGGCGGCATCCTGCTGCCCATTGGTTTCTGATCCACCAGATGCAGTGGGCGTTCCCCATCCATCCATCCATCACCGAATGACCTTGATCACGTTGCCCCTTGGGAGATTTTCGTGGAGCTGCCACTCAAAGCCAAGCGAAACAAAGAGGGGCAACAAATGCGACAGCATTAGCAGGAGGAGGAGGACGTCGAGGATGGATGTGAAAATGGATGAATGAATATTTGGTTCGAGTTGTCTTTTGTATGAGAGTTATAAGTACAACAATATAACGTGTAAGTTACTTGAGCAAGTCAATAGATCCACAGTAGCAAGGCATAAATGGAAACAATGGATTCTGTTGTAGTTGCTTCAAAAATATTATCTGGGCCTAAGAACTACAAAGCCTAAAAAAATATTATTCAAAATATTTTTGAGAGAGAATATCTTTGGAGAGGTCGTGGATCCAACACTTAAGTCTGTGGAATCATTATAGCCAAAAACAACCCCAGTTGACAATGGAGATTCTTCCTGCATTCGAGACCTCAGACAATCAAGAAACAATAGAGGAAAGGAGAGTGGCAATGAAGGTGAAGCATTTGGAAATGAAAGGCCAAAGAGCCCCAAATTTGTTACTGCAATTATAATAATATTTCCAATCCTATAAAAAAAGAAAGCAACTTTATAGAAGGAAAATAAGATCAATAAATTTTTTTAAGTTATCTCTAACAAATATGTGGAACCTAACATATTACATATCTCCAATCTTGCTAGAGCATGGAAAATTATAACAAATGTGTCCTCAATATATACCATTGCTGATATTAAGGTCATACTAAATAAAACTTAAAAATGTTTGATGATATGTCGATCTCCTCATTTTTGCAATATGTTTATGACTTGCTCAATGACTTGCAAGACATAGATGAACAACCTTCAAACATAGTGGTAATTGATTAGATCTTCAAAAATCTGCTTATAAAGTTTAAAAAATTTATGAGGATGTTGAGTTGAAAGAGTCACTTCCACCTTAGTTGGTTTATGTAATAGATTGCATAGGAAAGAGATTAAAATAAAGTTGCAATCATACTCCTACAAATAAGCATTGGTTTTCAGAATTAGAAATGCTTTAAGAAACCAACTATGGCCAATTTTTGGATCTAGAAGCTCTAGCTTTGTATCAATATCCTCATCTCAATGACTAGGCTTCTTATAAAAAAATCATTACTTTAGATAGACAAGATTAGAGTTTCAAGAAGAGCAAGTTTGTCATTGCTATGGAAAACTTGGCTACATAGCAATGTACTATTGAGCCATAGAATCATTCTTTTTTGGACATTATCTCTATATATATATACATATACATATAACTACTATTTGGATAATTTATCTAATGAGCAATATTCTACTTCAAATGATATTTAAATTACTTTGCAAATATAATTGGTAGCATCTTTCTATGATAACAATTGAATAATAGATAATAGAGCATTAAAGCATTTTTCAAAATATCAGCAAGTATTCTCATCACTAGAAAGGTAAGTTAATCATATTTCAATAGCCAAGGCATATGAAAAGACATGTATTGTATAAAGTCATGGAGATGTTATTCTACGTGGTTCCACTAAAGGAATAAATAGTCTCCAAAATATTCTATATGTTTTAGGATTAAATCAAAACCTCTTATTTGTAGAACAATATATTAGAAACAAAAATCATATCTTAATTTTTGGGAGAATTAAATGAGTTGAACTAACTAAAATAAATCTATTGCAATTAATCATTGTTGAATATTGAGATCCTTTGTCAAAATTTTACAATTTAATCACAAAAAATAGGTCTAAAAGTCTAAAATATGATATTACTTTTAGTATGGAAAAAGATTCTCAAATCAAAATCTAAAAAGTAGAGCTAAGTTCAATAATAATAGATTATCTTTTCTATTTATGGTATTATTACCTTAGCCATATTGACTTCTTAATACTAGCTATATTAGGCTCAAATAACTTGTCATTGGAATACCAAACTTTGAGGTAAAACAAACAATATGTTGTCATTGCCTTTAAAGTAAACATACAAGAGAGCTAATATCAAAAGATAGAATATCAAGCTCAAATGAGTTGATAGGATTAATCCACTCCAATTTTTGTGGTCCATTGTCAATGACTTTTCTTTCAAGCATTAAATACTTCCAAATATTTTTTGATGATTATATACAAAAGATTTAGATTTATTTTCTTAAAAAAAATAAACAAACACTTAGCAAGTTTGTTAAATTTATAACCATGATAGAAAAACATAGTAGACATCAAATGAATTCTATAAGAATAGATAATAGCGGAGAATTTATTTTAGGAATTTTTAAAAGATTTTTTAAATCTCATAGAATGATGAAGAAATTTATGCATTTATTATAAAGAAGAGTATCCAACTTTTTATGGCCGAAGGCAACAAAGACTGCACTTTATTTACTCAATAGAACTTCAATAAGAATAAATAATCAAAACTAATTTTTAGAAGAAGCTTTTGCTAGAGCCAAGCCAAAAATGAATCATCTTAGGATTTTTGGTTATCAATCTTACATTCATATTAGATTGCATGCAGGAAATAAATTCTAATCTAGACTAATTTGTAGAAGCATGGTAGGATATAATAATTATATCAAGGGTTTTCTCATTTATTCATCCACATCAAAAAAAAGATCACAATTTTTAGAGACATAGTGTTTAGTAATATAAAGTTTTATAACTTAAATACAAGTAAATCTGCTTTAGATTATGCGTCATATAACACACTATACAACAATCTTTTATTATTAATCAATAGTCAGTTGTCAAAATGAGCTTTAGAGCCACAATTCATGCCCTTCCTATTAGATGTCTTGCTTATATCTAAAATTGGTGTTTACTTAATATTAAAACCAATACAACCAATTGAAAAGCAACTACAATATTTGACAGATAATTTGATTTCAAATGCAATACCTGCACAAATTTCTTCACATCATTCTTATAATTATTTATCAAGTAATAACCTTGAAGAATGGCCCACCTCTAATGTAAGAAATAACATGTCAATTACTGTACCAATTACTACAAAATTAAAGTCAACATCACCTTTAATTTTAGATACAATATCATCCTAATAAACCGCAAGTTTTTTATAGATAGTGCCAATGATAATTTGATTAATCTATTGTTTTAATTGGCTTTCAGATTACTTTGTAAGATTGTTGACTCTACTTGAAATCAAGCCAACCATATTTTTAAAGGCTACAGCTTAATTAAGTTAGATTCTAGTAATGATTAAAGAGATTAAATCCATCCAAAAGAATCAAACATGGCTTCTCATATCTCTACCACCAAGTAAGTTTACAATCTCAATAAAATATGTGCATAAGAAAAAATTGAATACATATGGCATGTTACAAAAAAAATAAATGTTTATTTAGTAGAAAGAGATTTTGAATAATAAGAAGAGAAGACTATAAAGAAATATTTGTATAAATACTTAATTGAGCAATTATTAAGGCAATAGTTTCTATTGGTCTTCAAAACCCCTAAAAGTTATGTTATTTGGATGTAAAAATAACTTTCTTACTTAGAAATATAAGAAAAAGAAAATTATATTATTCAATCTTAAGGTTTTGAAGTATTGAAAAAAGAACGTTTAGTGTATAGATTAAAAAAGGCTTTATGTGAATTGAAACAACTACTATATGCATGATACAAAAAAAATAGATTCATATTAAAAGATTATAGGTTTCGAATAAGAAATAGGTGACTATAACTTATACTCAAGAGCCAAAGGAGGTATAGATATTCTGATCACATTTTATATAGATGATTTCTTAATGATTGATAGTTGCACAGCCAATATATGTGTTTTAAAAATTTACTTTATGAAAAATTCAAAATGTCTAAGCTCTTAAAAAGAGTCATCACTTTATATCAAAAATTAGAATGCGTACAAGTTTAGGAGAGAATCTTTATAATCCAAAGGTCGTATATTCAAAGCATCTTAGAAACCTTTGGCATAAAAGATTGTTTCCTAGTAGCAACATCAAACAAGAGAAGAGAAAATTAAAATTAGACATAGAGAAGAAGAGGTTGACTCAACATAATTCAAAAGCATTGTAAAAAAAATCTATACTTTACATGTATGCAATCTAATATACAATTTGCAATTGGAGTAGTTAGTAAATTTATAGTGTGACCAAAAAAGTGACATCTACTTACATTTAAAAAAATACTACAATACATCAAAACTATACAAGATTTTGACAACTTGTAGTACAATGACTATAAACCTCAACTTTTATGATATGTAGACTTAAATTGGATGGGTGACTTAGATCAGATTTATTCCACCACTATGCTTGTATTTAATATTGGAATATCATCTATCTCATGACTCTCAAAAAAATAACCCACAATGGCACTATCATCATCAAAGGCAAAATATAGAGCTCTATTAGATGCATCAAGAAAAACTTTGTCGCTTACTATTCTTCTTCAAGATTTATACGTCAATATCGAACAACCTATCAACATCTATTATGACAATGCCAAAAGCATCAAGATAGCAAAAACCCTAGGTATGAATTGACACACTAGATACTTGTAGAACATTACCATTTTACAAGAAAAAAGATAAAATCTAGAGATATTGATCTTAAATATGTTTTAATTCTAGAACATGTGGCAAATATATTCACTAAGCCACTAAGGTGCTATTGTATTGTAGTTGCTAATAGTATAAAAAAAATAATTAAAACATATATTATAATTATAAGTCTTAATGTAGATTAGAGTCGTAGTAAGTAATTTTAAAGAGATTTGTTATAAGAAAATTTATTTGGAGATTTATCTATTTTGATTATAGTATTTATATTATGTAGGATTTAGATATTTAATATAAAGCTTAAGAAAAGGTTGGAGTCTAAAGATGAAAGTCTAAACTAGTAAGAGGCCTATTGGGAGGGATAAAAGCAAGGTATGGTTAGATGAAGGCAAGGAATAAGAATCTTCATCCCTATTGGTCGACGGCCATGCCCAATGGACTTCAAAGAGGGTGCTTGAGGCCTTATTAGGGATTGGGGTTTCTCTTTTGAGGCCATTTGAACTTTGGATGCTAGGATCAATAAGTTTAGGTTTTTGGATATGGATTAGGTACAAATTTTGTGTGATTTGGAGTTTTTATGAAGGAGTTAAGGTATCAATTTCATACCTATTGTCACTCTTTGGAATATAACATACGCTTACAGAGAGCAATGATGGATCAGCAACTAGAGTTAGAGAGATTATTTTTTTGGCTACACTTTTTATATACTTTTTGATGAATTTGGAGTTTGAATAAAGAAGTTATAAAGAGTTGAAGTCAATGCATCCAAATCAAAGGTAGTAAGTGAGTGATTTTGTTCATAGTAATGGTTGGAGCCATATCTTGAGTTTTTGGACGAATTTTTGGCTCAAATCTCTTGGAGAAGATAGATTATTGTGTTAAAAAGCTATATATTTAAATTTTGTGGCATTTGAGTGCTTAATTTGTAAAATATAAAGAAAATTTTACATAGGTGTATAAAGTCAAGGATTTAAAGCAAATAGTAGGATTTTCAAGACATCTCAAGATCTGCAATGAATTTGCAATTGAAAATTCTTGCAGTAGTTGTTAGAAGTACATCAGTACTTCATGTAAAATTTGAGTGTGTTTGAACGGTCCAATTGAAAGATATGAGTTTTTGAAGTTTGGAAATAATACTCCATAAAGATATATAAAGATTTAGAAATTTTTATTATATTTTGGGTGTTTTTGGAAACTTAAGACTTACATGTTTGGTGTAATTACTCCTAAAAGTGACATATATACAAAAAATTGGTCTTTCTTATCTCAAGGCTTGATTGAACAATTAGTGATAGCCAAGAGCCTAATACTTTTTTAAAGCAAATTCTCTCTACCTTGGCATATTGGTGCTTCCACTGAGAAAGCCTTAAGGTACTAATTATATCAACAAGTTAAAATAGAGGATCAAAATCCTAGGTTTGCATTACCAAGTGGGATGGATGCCCATGATTTGTTTAGGGAATTTGCTCAATTTATAGAAGAAAGGCTAGAGAGAAGGATAGAAATACCACCAAAGCTTTACAAGTAGTGGTGGATAAAATTGGAAGGTTTGATGGGAGGAACATCACTAAATTCTACATGATTTTTACATGTGAAATGGAGGTGCATTAAATTTCAAAAATCAAGATGATTACCACCTTTGATTTGGCAATGGTACCAAAAATCAGAGAGAGGGTGTAAGAGTTACATAGTAAGGCTATATTGTAAATGAAATTTGAAGAACTTTTAAAAGATAAATTTTTTGAAGAAGATTCAAAAAGAATGACAAAACAAACTTTTTTTGGAATGGATTGAGCAAAGGCAAGGGAATCAAATGGCTCTAAATAAATTAATCAAAGAATTTGAGACTAAGTTTGGGCAATTAATATGGTAAGAAAGGGAGCTCTTAGAAACAAGGAAAATTGGATTATTCTTATAACCAGCTGATGAATACTTAGAAGACAAGGTGCTCTTTTATCTAGTAGAAAAGGCATTTGAGAGTGGTTTTACAAATAATTGGAGGCTAATAAAGGAGACGATGGAACTTTTGGCTAAGCAACAGAAGATTAAGACTCGTGGTTCAATATCAAGGTTGGAACCAGGGTCTACATTTCAAAATCTAGTATCACTTCAAAAGGTAATTAAGACTATAAAGGATCATATTCTTGAAGAATTAATCAAAGGCATACAAGATTTGAGGGTAGAAATGATTGAGTTAAAGAAATCCTAGATAGCAAGTTCATCAAAGACAATTAAAGGATCAAAAGGATTTGCAGAGAGATATATGTGGTGTGACAATTCAAACCACAAGCATGAACCATTGAATAGGGTCACAATATGTAAAGATTGCCCTTGTAGAAAAGAAGCGACTATCACATTTCCAAGACTAAGAACCATTGAAGATAAAAGTTGATTGTTAGACAAGGTATTCACCACCAAGACAACAACCTATACTTGCATTAATGCCTGAAACATATGATATTTCAAACATTTTATCAGCCACTAAAGATGCAAGAAATGAGATTCAAAAGGGCACAAATTGCCAACAAGAGAGCTTAAAACTATCACAAAAATATTGCCAATATTTAAAAAAAAAAAAACTACAAGTTATTGTTTTTCTTTAAAACTTGGACTAAAGCAAAGAATTTTATTAGAGAACTATTACAAACTTGTTGCAAGCCATCCATTGCTTTGAAATCACATAAGACTCACACTCGAACTAATAAGAGAATGTTGGTATTTTTTGAGTTGTATTTTCATCATAATAGAGACTAGTGTTTCTTCAGTTATAAGTTTTAAATATATAATGTTTAGTCTTTATAACTTAGAACTATCTATAAAGAACAAAGTCTCAAAGACTGTCACAAAGATGAGATTATTGTAGCCTTAGGAGTGAGAGGGGATAATTAGCAATCAGGAGATGCATCCCTGTGACTGGACATCAATTCGGATATTAACAGTTATATATCTCATACAATGTAATATATATAAACATATATATTTGAATGATTCCTAACAAATGTTGTGAACTTCAAATTTGTTATTTATTGCTTGAAAAAATAATGAATTTTTTGCTGACGCATTTCCCAGGTATGGGATAAAAATAACCATACAAATAAGTTAATTTGAACCCAAAATGTAACACAGTTTGTTTTAAAGAAAATCAGTACATTTTTTATTACTCATAGATCCTTCTAGAGTATATTAAATTCAAAGTTAAAAGACTAAAACTATTGTGTTACCACTTGGAGGGTTATTTTTATCACAACTGTCAATACACAAATAAGACATGTTCATTAAATGAAATTACGAAAAGTTGTTTTGCAATCAATATTGTAGTCCTCATTATAGAAGAAATTAGCGTTAAGGCATTCACGGACATTACAATTTACTTACTGGGAAATGCCTACTTACCTGGTACAGGTATTTTTTAGATTATAATATTCATCAGAAGATCATAGATTATACAAATGACTCAGTGTGAATGGTTTCACAATACTAGTCAAATTAATGGGCAGCATTTATCTTTTTAAAAATTAGGTGGGTAACCTAAAATAAATTATAACAGAAGTCTAAGGCGTATTCTACAATATCAACCTTAGTATTAGCATCAGAAAGTCCAGGACAGGTACTTCAATTTGACAACGTATGAACGGAACTAATCATTCTGCTTTAAACATCGATTGGATAGAGAGCTACGTGTCATTATAATAGTTTTGTCGCATAAAGTGTTTCTTATCATGCAGGTTTTAATCAATGATGGACCTTAAGAGTTTGCTTTCAGTGTGTAAGAAGACATTGGATTTCGAATTCCAAGTTTTTTTCATTGTTACGCAAGTGACGTCAGAAATGCATTTGTACTACATTCACAACAGTATCCGGAATATTTTCTACGTTTCGCCCAGGTGTGCACCAGTGCTGCCCGACATGCATTTGCTCTTTAATGTTAAAGCGTCTCTGATCGTACACAATTTCCAGTTTCAGACCTTAAAAATCTTAAACACTGCATAGACTCTACTGCAATGGATATCATTGTGGCTCGTGCAGGGCCTGGAGTTAGTGAAACCATCACTGCCCAGCTTCAGGTCACTACACAGTAGAGAGCATGGAGAGTGTCCACACACGGTATACAACTGGTATTACAATGGCTAGCTTCACTAAGAGAAACCAAGCAAAAAACCATGATCGTGAACGCATTCATTCGCTTGTGGAGGCACATCTATGAGGAACAATCAATTCATCCTCCACAAATAAACCTCCAAGCCCATTTTAAAACCTCTGTGGTCTAGGACCTTAAGGTAAAATAATCATCTACGTTGGGCCAGAAACCGTCCCTCTATTGTCGTAATTCAGCTCTGACGTAGTCAGCATCCTCAGCTACAGCAATATCAACACTGGGCCTCAATTCTGCGCAGACAGCGATGGCCTGGTGAACCGGGTCTGCCCTGAAGCTCTCTAGAACATCCTTGTTAATGGGAGTTCCGTTATCTACTGCGGTGTAAGCCTGCAAAGATTGATCCAACCAAATTCCTCATTACAGGGCATCCACAGGAAACCAAACGAAAATCCACCGAAAAAGAGAAATATGGATATAATGATCAACTATGATCAATGTCAAACAACCCAAACACGACAACACGGACAATGACTCTAATTCAACATCAAAGAAAATGAAAACAAAGGTGATGCTCCCCAATCCCAAAATTGAGTAACGAAGGAAAAACTACTCTAAAATTATATACCTGCTGAGTCAAAATGTAATCAAATCGTGGCGCCCATTTGCGGGAACCGAGACGAGCAGTTGTTGAGCAGTTGTCCACCATGAAGGCTACACCACGGGCGTGCATGAAAGGGTTGAGAGAGTCAACAGCCTCAATCACACTTTCGTTAACCATCTCCGAGTACGAGTGCCCCTTCCTCCTCAAGACCTCAATCTATAAATAGCAATGACATATTAGAAAACTGATAGGACACAACATACTCAATTGCATTTCAAGATTAACTTCGAAGTTGTATACTCAGAACTTGAGGATCATTCAGCGTTAACAAACCTGGGCCATCATGAGTGCACAGTATACACCGGCAGTGAATGGGTGGAGTGGACCCATGTCACCCTTGGGTCGTGAAGCCCGAACTTTCTCACCAACTTGCCACATGCGGGTTCCATCGATCTTCCCCATAGGAAAAGCTGGCAGACCCTCTTTCTCCTATACACAGAAAAGAACTGATTAGCAGAGCACACATGACCATATACAACCCAGCAGGAAACATTCACCCCGTGATCAGAAAACGTATGGTTGCAGAATAGGTAGTATTAAAACACCTCTGAAGAGGCACAAGATCATATAGGCTTCAGGTGAATAAGAACTCACGGAAAATCTGCGACCAGCCAGTACGACGCTGCGGATCTCATTACCGGAAGCAACATCCTCGTAGCACTCATAGAGGATATCCATAGAGGGGTAGAAAGAAGCGCTGTAGGCTGCCTCAAACTCCTTCTTACCTTCCTCACTTAAAGCCTCGTAAACAGCCAAAATGCCCTACATAGCCACGAGTGGAATTTAATCACGGTATCGGGAACCTATATTTTGTAACCCGAGAGGTACAACAGCCAAGAAGTTCAATACACAATCTCAGAGAAGTGTCCAGTTGGACCGACCTTAGTTGAAATGATTTTGGAGATGACGCCAGTGATGCCCTCCACAGTGTTCTTGTAAGCATCCTCTTCAGACATACCCTGGGCAGTGTACCGCCTGAACAAAGATTCTACTATACCGTGCACAGCTCCCAGGAGAATACCTACATATTACACAAGAGTGTAAATTAGTAAAGGAAGTTCACACTGTCCAAACTGCCCCTAATTTCACATTTGATCAAACCAGTTAGCATTGAGGACAAGATAATGTACCTCTCTCTCCATAAATGTCGCTCTTGTACTCATCCTCGAGTGTAGTAGCGAAGGTGAAGGGCGAGCCCAAAGCGATGGACCAACCGAGAGCAACATCCGTGGCTCTTCCATCAACATCCTGAAACCCCAGGAATATAGCAATCCCAGAACAGTAAGATAAGCACCTGAAAGGATATGTCTAGTTCCGTTCGGTCTATGTTTTACTCGTTAAGGTAATGTACACGTTCATATTCAGTTCCACACTTTTTACTTGGAAAAAAGAAGCGCAAGCGCTCCATAAATTCTCTTAGCTGTCTACGCATACTTAAAACGATATTTTTTGTGACTATCCTTCCTATTTCCGAAAACCAACGGGCGTCATCATACCTGGTGCACAGCGAAACTGGCATTAATACCGGCCCCATTCACTTCTTTTCCCTGCACATACAAACGCCTAACGGAAGGTCCCATTCCCTTGGGACAAACAGCAATCACACTGATGTCATCAGGGAAGCTGTCTCCAACAGAGTTGAGGTGACCCAAGAGAAAGCCATGAGACAGACCCAGGACAGAATTGGGCTTCATGGCTTTGAATATTTCCTTGTAGTTGTCAGCCTGCAACTCGCCCGAGTGCACGATGAGATCACAGCACTCCACTATCACATTAGCACATATTTAGAATTTGACGGCAGATTCTAATGAACGCAATTCCCAATACATCCAAGCACCTGCAAGCTGGGAAATGTGTGAAAACCAAAATACTTCAATGATTGCTAACGCAAGTATTGTCGCAGGGCCATCACCTGTGCAGCGTCAGAAATGAGGAGCAGGACCAAATCACTCTCAGCCACTGTTTCAATAACATCACCCAAAGTTCCGGACTCTTCGGTGAAGCCGACCGACCTCGCATCCTCACAAGACTTGGAGCCCTTCCTCAATCCGATCTGAGACACAAGAAAAATGCACGAACTCAGTGACAAGTGCATTCCATACCTTGAATTCAAATGGCGATTCCAAATTCGCCTTATCATTGAAAAGCTAACCTATCCTTCTACTCGAATCAAAATTCGAATTGAAGCATCTTCAAATAGTCATGCAGGGGATAACCTTTACGACAATATCAGACTTGATTTCAGCCAGCGAGTCGCGAATGTTCATGGCTTGAGCAGGTCCCTGTAGAGCAAAAAACGACGGATTATAAAAAATAAGAGATCTGTAAACCTACAACTGTTCGAAAGCAGGGTTCGAAGAGACGAAAAGTCGAAGAAAGAGAACATCACAGGTATGCGACAGAATTTCCACAAGAAGCGTAATCTTATCGTACCTGCGATCCCCAGCCGATTACGCCAATTTTCTTGATCCCTGTAAGAGCCTTCGGCAGCAAATGGAACAGGTCCCGTCCACCTCGGACAATGTACTGCAAGACAGAAATAGACAGATAGCAGTATGATATCAGAAACTTGACAGAGTAAGAGAACTTTAAAATTTGAGAGATTATAAGAACAAACTAGACCCTGAGTAAAAAATTCGAGGGACTGCAATGCGCGGATTGCGGACCTTCAATCGATTATTGTATATTCGCCACATGCTAAGTTTTCGATATTAGGTAGTGAGGGTTACTTGATATTTAAAGTTAACGCTACCTGGAACTATATCATGAGAGTGGCCTCCCGCAACTACGCACAATATACAGGCCATTCAGTCCCATGACCCCAAACACTTAATTTAACAAGCCACGACTGAAACCACTACAACACGTCTCGACCCACATTCAACTAGGATATACACAAAGGCAGCACAATGTCTTGTCCACAGAACTCCAGCGCACTGAGAGTCGTTTCAGCTTCACGGTCAACCCACTAAAAACTCTGTTTCCATCCTAACTCACCTCATCACGGCCGGCAGGGGTAATCTTTTCCTTCTTAAAGATCTCAGTCTGAAACTCCACATCGACACCACGCACAGCAGGTGTAGCCACCATGTTGATAGACATAGCACCGCCCCGCCGCCAGCAAGGCACGGCGGCCACAGCATTCCTCAAGCTCTTCTCAAGTTTGGGAGCGAACGCCACAGACCTCAACCCTGCGAAGGAGGTCATCTTGGGGCCAGCGCTACCCAGCACCTCGGAGGAGCGGTGTGCCACAGATGAGGAGGGTGCGGCACAGTGGGAGAGAGTAACAGCGGCCATGGTGGAAAGCCCTGGATAACACACACACACACACTCGCGCTCTACAGAAGGAGGACGAGGGACCAGGAATGGGGAGAGGAGGAGAGCAGGGCCTCCACAACAGAGCGGAGGGATGCGAACAAACAGGGGCAGCGAAAAGACCTACGGCGCTGCTGCGGCAGGAATATATACACACGCACACACAGAGAGACACCCCCACACCCCCACTTTCTTTGAGGGTGCCCCTGCTAGGGTCGGGGTTTAAGCTCTGCCCTTCCCTGCCCTGCCGTGCCCGGTCTGCCCTGTGCTGCCCGGCAGGAGGCAGCCTTGTGGGCGGCTTGTCTAGTCACGTTGTGTTCGGGGCAGGATTTTGTTTCCACCTCGGGTATGGGTACCGTGCCCTATTCCCGATTTGGATATGGGGCACAAGCACCATGCCTGCCTGCATGACCCGCCTCTCTTGCAGGCAGGCTCATCTCCTTCACCTCCACCACCTCATTCAGAATAATATTATTAATTCCTTTTAATTTAATTTTATATAGATTGATATTCCCAAATAACACCTACAGTTTAGTTTTTCTTTTCTTTTACTTTCTTTTCTTCTTAACACAATTAAGGTATTGAAAAGACTCATTGATGCAATGAATATATATATATATATATATATATATTCAATTTAAAACATGATTCTTTTACACAAACTATATGTTTTGATTTACAAGGCCCTTTCAATATTTTTAATATTATAAATTCATATTACGTTCGCCTTTGATAAATAATGCAGTGTTATATTTAAGAAAAGTTGTATTTTAAGTGTAAACTAATGGAAGACATATATGAGAAATAATATATTTTTTGTTTTTAATTTATTTAAATAATAAATACTAAATATTTAAATGTCCAGAAACCCACACAAGACCAGTAAGAAAACAAAAAAATGTTCATATAATCGTTAACAATTCTTTTGGAATTTTTTCTTATATATATATATATATATATATATATATACATACATACATACATACATGCATACATACATACATTATCATGCTAATGTAGATTATCCTAGAAAACACAATAAATTATGCAATTTACACCTCAACAGCTCTTTACATTATGGAATATTTCAAATAAATCAACAAGAATTTTATTAATATTTATATGATTTATTATATTTTAAAAGATATTTTTAATTTAACAATATTATCATAGCTAATAAATTACATACTTTTTATAAATTATTTTTTAAAAAAAATTCTATTTCTTCTATCAAAAAATTTAGACTATTGTCATGAACCACCAATTTTAAACATATATTACATACAAAAAAGCATTATTTATTAATACATCTAATTATTATTTTTAAGACTAGAAATATTTCTTAATTCTTTGTAAGATTTGAATTTTCATCATTATTAAATCATTTATTAAGAACTTAATATAAGATTTTGTATATATCTAAGATACAAGAATGGTGCTATCTTATTGTATATCATGATTATTTTAAATCTAAAAATATTATCTTAAACAAATATTTAGATAAACACTATAAAACTATTTTTCAAACAAGAAGATGAATTATCTTATTAAGATTTTTTTTATTAAATTATTATGTATAAATTTTTTTTACAAATAAACAACTAATTTTATAGATGAAAGTAATTGAATCTTCAACTAAGTCATAATAGAATTAGTAAGGTGCCACTTATGTAATCATATCTAAGAATATTTCAAAAAAATTTAATAAAAAAAGTTTTTTTTTTTAAGGAATTTACATATATATATATATATATATATAGATATACACACACACATACATATATACAAGAGAATATTAAAGAAATCCAAACATTTATTAAATCAATCCAAACTGTCAAAACCATTATTATGCTCTCATCTCCCATCTCCGTCCTCTCCATTCTCCCCGTTTCTAATTCTCTTGTCCTTGTTCTCTATCCAAACCTCTTAGACCTTGGTTCTAGCCAACTCATGCAACAACCAAGCATCACCGCCCAAGTTAAGAGTTGAACTTCCAAGCTCCGAGCAATGAACCATATACCCTATTCTTTAGTCCTATACACCTCAACAATAGGAGTCCAACTACTATCTATTGGCGACTCATGCTCAACAAGCTCAAGATAGCCATCTCTACAATTCACTTGGCGATGCTCCAGCTAGGCTATCTATGGCAATAACTGCAAATGAATACTCTAAAACACCTTCAATCACAATTCACAATCCATAACAACCAATTTATCTAGTTATTATTGTCAAAATTGAACAATATGAAAATGATAAATTGATTAAAAATCTTGCAACTTTGATGCCAGCTCTATTGAATATTTACAAAGATTTAGAATATCACATAGTTATTGGAAAATACTTACTCCATCAAAGCTTGAATCTCTACAAATGTCCATTTCCTAAGGTGTGTTCCAAGATCAAGTATTTTATGTATTCTAATATAGAGATGCTTCAGTTCTCTTTGTAGTGTCACGGACACAGAAATACTGACTTGAGATCTAACAAGAAGTTCAAGAAGAACTTGCAAGAACTAGATTAATCAGATGAATACAAGAACAACACCAGAGAGGTGAGCTAAAGCTCCAAGAGATGTATTGTCAAGACTGAAGAACTCTTCAGCCTCGATTCCAATATATACTCCTATTTAGAAAGCTTCTCAAGCAACTTCTACCAACTATGAAGCTTCTAGAAGGTTCTAGAAACTTGTCTCTAGAAGGTTCTAAGGACTATGTCCTTAACATCACCCCCTCCTTTAGCTTCTAGGTCTCTGAGAAGCAATGTTGTTGTCAATCAATACCAACGCAAGAAAATGAAGATCTGTCGCATAATGTCTGCTATGAACTCCAACTATTGTTCACGAGGTAAGTGGTTCATTGGCCCTTGAAGCCAATGGTAGTAGCCCACTCTTTCAACTTCTGACCAAGCATGAACTTCCGTGTCTTCATTGTGAAATCGTCCTGCAAATATGCCTTCTGGTTGACCATCGTAAGAAGGCTCGGACTCAAATACAATCACCAGTGATCAGTTACTTGGTATCCTCCGTCGTCGTCGTGGTACAAGTGGTTCTTCATCTCGGGGTCGCCTTCATGAGCTAGTTGGTTGAGATAATCTGACTGGCATAGTATCTATCTCTTGGCTATCCATATCAGAAGACCAAACTATGGCTACTGAAAAAATTCTATTTTATTTTGGAGAAAATAATTACATCAACTACGAATTTTGGTGGTGCTCTCCCCCTTTCTTATATTCTTGGATGAGCAAGCTTCAGAAAGAAGCTATCGTCGAATAGGCTTAGATTTATGAGGATGTTGTTGATGAAACTCCTGTACCTTTTGCGGTGCATTGGCGAGATTTTCAGCTAGCTCCCACGTTCACTCATTAATGTCGTAGCCGCACCAATGAACAAGATACTCCAACTTGCCCCACCTTCGCCGTGAATCCAGTACCCTTTCAACCTCGTATTCCTCGTGGTTCTCGATCTTAATACTAGGTGGCAGACATTGCATTCTTCCAGGAAAAGACGACTCTCGATAAGGCTCCAACAGAGAAACATGAAAGACTGGATGTACCTTCATAGAAGCCGATAATTCCAGACGATACGCCATTGGATTGATTTGCTTCTGGATGATAAATGGTTCCAATCTTCGATAGTCCAACTTATCACATGGTCGCTTGGTCTTGATATTCCGTCGAAGAAGCCATGCTTTATCTCCAATTTTGAAAGTAGGTGCTTGATTTCGAAATCTATCTGCAGATGCCTTGTAGGATTCTTGAGCAGATTATAATTGAAGCTTCAACGTATTTTGAAGCTCTGATAGTTGTTTCGTAAATCTTTCAGCTGCTGGATTGTTATTTGTTGATGGACTCAATAAATCAAGCTTTGGATGATACCCATAGTTGGAAAAGAATGGTGTGTATTGAGTCGACGCATAGAGGGTGTTGTTATATGCAAACTCGGCTAGCGACAAATATGTGGTCCAATCGTCTTACTAATAGTTGATGCTGCATCGTAAGTATTGTTCCAAGACTTGGTTCACCCGTTCCGTTTGGCTGTCAGTTTGAGGATGAAAAGCCGAAGAAAGCTTGATATCCACCTTCAGTATCTCAAAGAGAGATCTCCAAAACTTTGATACGAACTGGGTTCCTTGATCTGATATGATATCATCTGGTAGTCCATGATAACGATATACATTATCGAGAAAGAGCCTTGCTGTGACTTCATTGGACGATGTCTTCTTGCAAGGGACAAAGTGCGCCATTTTTGTAAGCCGATCTACCACGCCAAAGATGCTGTCAAATAAGTTCGATGATGGCAAGTCCGTGATGAAGTCCATGGAAATTGAAGACCATGGTCGACGTGGAATCGGCAATGGCTGTAGGAGTCCATAAGGGCGATGCCGAGGATTCTTGGATCTTGAACAGATGTCGCAGGAGAGGACAAAATCTTTCACATCCTTCCACATTTGGGGCCACCAAAAATCTCGAGAAATAAGCTCCAAGGTCTTGTTGAATCCAAAATGTCTCGTAGCTGGAAAATCGTGGCGAGATTGAAGAAGTCGGAGTCGTGCTGGTCCTTTTGGAATATATAACTGCTCCTCAAAGTATAAAAGATCTTTCTCTACCTTGAACTTGTCGTAATTGGCACGCTGCTTAATATCAATGGCTACTGAATCTTCAATGGTCACGGCACGTACCTCATTCAGGAAGTCAGCATCAATTGGCAAAATAGTAGCGCAAAGTTGAAATTGCTCTGGCTTCAACAATGTCGTGCATTATTGATCAAACGCTACTTCTCTAGCCTTTGTTACAAGATACGATCTCCTCGATAAGGCATCAGATAGGCCTTGCTGCTTTCCAGATCGATAAGTGATAACAAAATCGAACCTATATAGCAACATACTCCATCGAGCTTGACGTCAATTTAGAACTCGAGCCGACATGAAATACTCCAAATTCTTGTGATCTGTGTATATGGTCACTGGATGTGCAGCTCCTTCAAGAAAGTGACGCCATTCTTGGAAAGAATCCACTATAGCAAGAAGTTCCTTATCGTGGATCTCATAATTGATTTTAGCAGTAGAGAACTTTCGAGAATAGAATGCAACCGGATGGAGCTTCTTGTCTTCTCCCATTTGTGAAAGTACAGCTCCTAAAGCAAAATCCGAAGCATCAGTTTCTAAATAAAAGGCCTTTGTAAAGTCTGGATGTACCAAGTTTGGAGCCGTAGTAAATGCTGTCTTCAGGTCTTGAAACGCCTTCTCTGCTAGAGGTCCCCATTCCAGCTTATCCTTGCATGTCAACCGAGTGAGGGGAGCAGCAACTTGAGAGTAATTTTTGATAAAGATCCGATAGAAATTAGCAAAACCAAGAAAGTATTGTACGTCTCTAACCGTCTTCAAAACCTCCGAGGACACGATTGCTTCCACCTTCTTGGGTTCCATCTTCAAGCCTTCTGTAGTCGCAAGAAACCCCAAAAACTCCATCTCTATTTGGTGAAATAAACACTTCTCCTACTTTGCATATAATCCTCGCTCGCGTAGTTTCTCCAAGACCAAACGAACGTGTTTTTCATGTTCTTCCTCATTTTTGGAGAATATCAAAATATCATCCAAATAGATGACAACAAAATCATCAAGGTGCTCTTGGAAAATGTCATTCATCATATGTTGAAAGACCGCTGAAGCATTGGTAAGACCAAAGGGCATGACATTATACTCAAAATGGCCATATCTTGTACGGAACGTTGTTTTCCACTCATCTCCTTTCTTGATTCGTACGAGGTTGTAAGCTCCCCTTAGATCAATTTTTGTAAAGATCCTTGCACATCCAAGATGTTCTAAGAGACCAGAAATCAAGGGTAACGGATATCGATTCTTCTTTGTTACCTTGTTGAGGCCTCGATAGTCCACGCACATCCGCAATGAGCCATCTTTCTTCTTCACAAATAAGATGGGTGCTCCAGTTGACGATTTTGAATGACGGATGAAGTTCTTGGCTAGATTCTCATCGATGTACTTCCGCAACTCCGCCAACTCCGTCTGCGATAGATTGTAGATTGGGCCAAAAGGCGGTTGTGCTCCTTCCTGCAAGTCTATGGCGCAATCATATGGTCCGTGTTCTAGTAGCATGTCAGCATTTTTCTTTTGAAACACATCTTTAAAATCCTTATATTGCTCTGGTATACTTGTTGTCGAGATCTTCTCCCGAATAGTTGGAGTCGCATAAATGACAAACGATGTGCCTTCCTTGGACGATCTTATAAACGCTCTTGCTCCAATAAATAAGGATTTCTCTATTCGGGATTTTCTACTAGGCTTGCTCTTGGGTGGTTTTGTAGAAAAGGTTGTCTTCTGCAACTTCCAATCTATGGATGGGTTATGCTTTTCCAACCAAGAAAGACCAAGAATAATAGGATTTGATGGAGTTCTAATAATATTGAAAATAATATGACTACTATGGCCCTTAAACGTTACTTCTATAGGTTTTGATTCATGGGTGACACTACTAGACAATAAAGGTCGTCCATCTATGACCTCAACGTGAATAGGTTTGGATTTTTGTACTAAAGGGATCTTATGACGCTTCGCAACTTCTTCGTCTAAGAAACAAGCAGATGCTCCTGAATCTAATAATGCTAAAGTTCTTAGTTTCTGAGGGCCAATAAGCAAAGGGATTGTAAAACAAAGGGTAGATTGAGCGGAAAGAAAGGAACTTGGTTGTTGTTGCGATATTTTACTGTCCAGCCGCACGGTTCTTATTGTGGTTGGGCATCCTCGTTTTCTTGAATAAACGTGCCCCTAATCTTGATAATACGTCGATTTTGCTTCTTGGGGTAGTTTCCAACTTTGTGGCCTTCTTCACCGCAATACAAGCATAGATCTTCCTCCATACGCCGCTTTTTTTCTTCTAGAGTAAGAGATTTGATACGTACCATATCAATTTGCATGTCTTCTACCTCTGAATGTGAATTCATGCTGCTTGCCGACATAGTTGGGGTGTGGCAAACCGTATGTTGTCTTGAACGTTGGTCTTGGCGACGTTGGAATAGGCGGTTATCGCACTTCACAACTTGGCTAATAGCTTTGTTGAGCGTTTGCGGATCAGGAAGAGTTAACAGCAAATTCTTCACATCGTCCCTTAAATCCCAATAGAATTGACTCATCAATGCTTCTTTGTCCCAATTGATGTCGCATGCTAATTGCCTGAAGTCCGATGCATAGATTGATGTAGAATGCATCCCTTGTCGTAGTGACCGGATCTTTGTTGTAGCCCATCGAACCTTGTCGTGTTCATCAAATGCTTTCGCAAACGCCTCCAAAAAGATTTCAAAGTTGTTTAGTATGGACGATCGTTTCTCAAACAAAGGAGCAAACCATGATAGAGCTTATCTTGTAAGTAAGGTTCCAACAAGCCCAACACGTGACTCCTCCGTTGGATAGCGTTCGGGCTGTAAAATTGTTATCAACCTGATTTGGTTGACGAATCCTCGAAACTTGGAACGCGTACCATCGAACTTGTCCGCAAGGCTAACTCGAGGCTCCATATGTTGTAGAACCAGTGGTGCTTGTCAAACCTGAGGCAAAGTTGCTTCTCTAAGTGCAGAAGTTTGAGGCTGGTGCAACCTAGATTGTGCCATCCCAGATGCTCCATCATTATGAAGCCTTGCCACGACTCCTTCAATCTCTGCAGTTCTTTGCGATAACGTAGCGAGGGCATTCATGATAGCATCTAACTTGGACTCTAAACTTTCCGTCATACTAATGTCTTGGCCCCCAACCATTCTAAGAGAAGGACAGAAATGACTCTACAAGAAGACAATATTGGTTTAGAGGAGGGTACTCCGCAACCTCTAAAATGCCTTAGGAGCTTCAAGAAAAGCGGTAATCCACTCTCTCCAAGAAGAATAAGGCTCCAATATTGTAACAAAAGAAGTATCAGTTTAGAGGAGGGTAATCCCCAACCTCTAAAATGCTAGTATACTTCCAAGCAGAGGAGTAATCCATACTCTAACAAAGAAGAAACTAGCTTTGATATCTGAGGTGAATGAAGTCTCGACAAACTGTCACGAACACAGAAATACAGACTTGAGATCTAACAAGAAGTTCAAGAAGAACTGGCAAGAACTAGATTAATCAGATGAATACAAGAACAACACCAGAGAGGTGAGCTAGAGCTCCAAGAGATGTGTTGTCGAGATTGAAGAACTCTTCAGCCTCAATTCCAATATATACTCCTATTTAGGAAGCTTCTCAAGTAACTTCTACCAACTAGGAAGCTTCTAGAAGGTTCCAGAGACTTGCTTCTAGAAGGTTCTAGAAACTTGTCTCTAGAAGGTTCTAAGGACTATGTTCCTAACATGTAGTAAACACTTGCATGCAATCAAAGTCAATTCTCTTGTAGAACTTAAACATCAACTCAATTTGTGAGAATCCAAACCATGAATCATACCAATGCCTTGTGTGTAAGAAGAAAGTTGATAACAAAATATATCTTGTCATTTGATTCTTGAATCCTACCATAAATGTTTTTCTTTTTACTACTTTTTGGATTAGAATAGGCTAATAAGAAAGCATATTAATCACCTTAATTGAGTATAAAAAAGATAGTACATTTACATGATACAAACATCAGAATAATTATAACTACTTGCAATGTACAAATAAAGAATACGTATACAAAATACTTTAAAAGTTGAAAAATTAGAATGTACTCACAAATGACAAACCAACAACCTTTTGCTTTGCTCCATATCAAATTCAAAATCTACAATTGCTCTCGGTTGCTTTAACATTTCTCTCTCTATATATATACATACATACAAATTACAAGTAAGAAGATTATGATTGTAAAATATTAAGCATGTCAAACTTTGGATAAAATATGATATATTCTAAAATAAATCAAAAATAATAAATAAAATCCATTGCTATTATTTGTTACTTCATAGATGTACTAAAGTGGGAAACATAGACACTTGACATATGCATTATACATGAATTTTGCAACAAATAAACTTTTTTGAAAGAATGACAAAATATGGACATAATCTATTCAAAGAATTTTTTAGTAAAAACATGTATAAATTCTAGAGAGAATGATGCATTTCCATTGACTCCATAAACATAAGTTCATCATCATATTGACCATAAGTGTTGGCTTGTTTAGGGCAATGGATCTATATGATTAGATCTTCATTACATCTCAGTAGACACCAAACCGATACAAACATGCATGTGTAGGAACAACATCAAGATGTGAATACAAACCATCCACAAACCATCCACAAGCTGCCTCGAGTCTATGGAGGAACGAGAATTCCATGCCAAAAACAATCCAGAACATCAAAAAAAAGAAGTGCAACAAAAAATTGTCTCGTATGTAAAAAGTTCATGGGTAACCTTATAAGATAACTCAACCCAAGGACCCCAGCTCCAGACCGGAGGTCAATTAATTTTCTTCGAGGATGATACCCACTGGCCATCACCAGGCACATACCATTGTTTACAATTTGCGTAAATAAATAATACTAGAAAATGTGCAAAACAGTATGAAGTAATAAAGGCCTCAAACAGGAATGAGTATCTTGGGGGTGGCTGCACGTAGAAATACAACAGATGAAGAATAGCAGCTCCTGCTAAAGAACAATTTCTCAAAATGGGTGCCCTGAAAATCTTAATTAGTTTGTCTTCAGCGATTTTATATTCGAAATGTCTTGGGCACTTCAGTAAGAGAAAGAAGAGAGCTAGGAGTGCAAAGTAGGGCAATACAAGGTCATCGCGTCGAAGGAGAGGGAGCATGGAAACGACAGCGTAAGGCACTAGCCACTGCAACAACCCAGGTTCTTCTAGTGCTAACAGAGTAGCTGGAAGGAGCGGTAGCAACACGGACTTCTCATGCACTGCAATACAACGACAAGCTCAATAATTAGATCCGCAGCTTTCCAGGCAGAAGAAAAATCATTCACTGTCAAGCACGAACAAGATAAAAAATTTGTTGAATCGAACATCCTCGCAAAGCACAGAGTTCCTAAAGAGGATGTCATTTGTGTGCTGAAGCATTGTGCGCCTAAGTACTATGATAAAATCAATTCACTCCACGTAATAATGATTAGTCACTTGTGTTCAATGTCGCGCCTTACCATCTCCGTAGATAATCTTTACATCGAATCGCAACAGAAATGGCCTAGAATATTGCAACAATATTCTTATAATCATGAAAAGGTTAGGTTCCCTACCTCTAGCTACATTAATTTGGAACGGATTCAATTTTCACTTATGATGTTATTCTCGTCATTTAGAATTAGAACTAAAGAATATGAAACTAACTAAGCACATTAGCAATGTGCTTCATCCATATGCGAAAAGTGATGTTAAGGAAGTACCTTGAAAAGAAAAGAAGTAGAACGCAAAAGAACTATTGAGCATAGCCAAAAGAAAGCCTCGAGCACTTGGGGCACGAATCTGCTGCACCATAGATGGCAAAGCTGCAGTGATAGTGGCGCCCAAAGCCAACCGTGCAAGCACTGGAACAGAGAACAACTGCTTCCACTTGATTAGCATAGAAGTCCCACACCAAAAGTTCGCAACGTAGTCCTCGTAGAGCCCACGTTCAAAGGGAGCCAGCCGGTTGAGAACCTGTAGAGAATTAAGGGAATGGACTTCTTCACGTTAATACAGGAGATGAAGTTTCACTTGAGATGGTAAAATTTCAAGAATTGAACGACGATTCAGGCATGAGCCTTATTCTGAATCATGCTGGATCATAGCATAAGCACGAACTCGGCACAGCAGAATCACAAGTTCTTCCATTCCTACGGCATCATCAGTCCTCTAACCAGGTGTAGATACAAAAACTTTCAGCGATTAGTTAATGCAACAGTAAAGATCACTTGGAAAAAAAATAAAAAAAATAAAAAAATAAAAAATAGTTATGCACGTCAGAATTATGTACAATGATGCTACACATGCTGAATCGAGTTTAGCTGGAAAATGTAATGCGAAGGAATCAAATACAAAATACTACCTGCAAAGCAGAATGTCTGGATGACAGAAAAGGCCACCAGCATATCGTAAATGTAGTCAAGACCATAATTCCTAGTTTCACGACACCAAAAACTGGAGATCGGCGTTGGATGCAACGTCCGAGAAGATGAGCGAAGAATGCCGGTGCATAATATGCACTCATCTGCATTCCATCACCAGCAGAAACAAACGCATCGAGGTGAGAACAAGAACTTGCCTTCGCGTGTTCAATGAAAGAACTTCTCTATATGAATTTTGGGATACGCAAGTGGAAAACAAAATAGAAGTAGAAAGTGTGTCGAGTGGCAAGTTCTACAGAATTTCGATTTCATTCACTGCAGATTCCTTGCGTGATATTCACTTCCTGCACATTGTTTGAAACCTCTTCTTAGGTTCAAACGAGAAAGTTAGCTCTGCAAAGCCCCAAATGTCACATGTAATGTATATTGATCAATGTTCGAGTTTCATACTTGCCAGAAAACCAGGAAAGTAAAGCGCACCTGTTTGTGATTAAGCGATAAGGAGTACAGCACACATGCTACAAGCTCGTGTCTTGAGACAACAGCAGCGGCGGCTCCAGCTGCTAAGCCCAAGCTGATGCAGTTGAACTGAAACACACAATAAGTAGCTTCTTATCAGTATAAAGCTTAATAAGAGTCTCCAAAGCAGGCGATAAAGTTAAGTCCTTTTTCGCAATTGCTGTCCGTTTATACCTATATTACAAATCGTGTCGAACTGAAGGGAGGAACTGAGACTGACAAATTCGAAAAAAGATTCAGAAGAGAAAGTAAGGGCAATTTCGAACTTGAAAATGTCCATGATCAATTAGAATCAGGGCTGGTTGAAGAAGTATCATGCTCAATGCCCAGGCCTGTTCTTCAAATATCGCAAGCTTATAATAGAGAGAAACGAACGCCAAGGCTGCAGGAAAGAACACAAGGATGTCTGATGACAAAACCGTCCATCGCATCAAGAATTTGCTGCACCCCTCCAGCCAATATTCCCAATTTCATCCACTTTTAAAAACCTGTTCCACTCCTACTTTCCTGCTATTATTGGGTTGAACTGAATATATTGTGTCTCTTTCCATTCTTAAAATTGTTTTAAGATAATCATTTACTCCATGCTAAAGGAATGAACAATAGACAAAGTTTACGCCCCTAACAAAGCTAATATAACGCAAAAATCTGCTATTTGCAAAGGGATAATTCATATCACACTGAAGGGGCAATTTTTGTGATAGAGCGAGCACTCTTCTTAGCCTGAAGACAAACACTTCTCTACAAAAACATTCTTACGATAGACATTTGGATGTAGTTTTTCGATATTGAGATAACATCCACTAAAATGAAAACCAAAAACCAAGAAGTTAACATGAACTCAAAGGAAATACCTTCTGGCATCTTCATGTCCTCTAGAGGTGTTGAGAGCCACTGCTGCGGGTTCGAGAGCGTGTATGATACGTCCGTGTATCCAACTTTGGTACGCCGTCAAGGGCGGATAATCAAGTCCCCAGTAACGGAGATCATTGTTTGTTGTGTTCACGTACCACTCCTTCACAGGAGTATGGACAGTGATCTCCATCCAATGCCGTTGCGCTTCATAGTCGCCATATTTTGGAGCTACCCCAGCACCTGCAACGTTATTAACTAATAATCAAACTTGGTGCAGAACGATCAAACTCTACAGTACACGCTATGCAAAGTTAGATGCAAATTGCCATTGATCAATTCGACTCTAAAAATGAAATAGCTCTTGGAAGTCCTTGCAATGAACTGTGTTCCTAGCGGCAATCGAAGAAAATAGTTTCAAACGTCATTCGTATCTGCAATATTATAAGATCTTTGACATATCCACCGATCAAACTTATTTCCCATCCATACACGAGCACGCACTTTCACAAGGTAATAGTCATAATAGTCAACCAACAATGAAGCTTTTATCTCAATACTTGCTGTTAGACGACACAGTCCTCTAAACCCTAAAATCCATAAGACTAACAACTTAACTTACACACGGACCATAATAGCCACTAGAAGAACCTCACGAAAATCAAATTACATGCCTGAATAAGGCTGCAGCGACAGCATCATTCTCAGGAGCAAGGCAAATCCACATATCGCTCCAAACGAGAACTTCCTCTGCATTGATGTGGTCGCAGGCCAGCTCCAGGAAGGAGATTCCTTGTATGCATGCCTCACGGTCGTTTCATCCTCCTCCGCCATTCTCCAAATCCTTGCTTCCTGAAGAATCCCTTCAAAAATGAAATAAAACTGAAAACATTCTACACAATTCCCAACTTGGAGGGGACGATATCAAGCATGTTGAATTGCTTCATGCTTAGTGGGAGTATATAGCCGCTACAAACACAGGCCCAATCAGCGAAAAACCCAAACTGTGGCTACTGCAAAAATCCCACACGTATTTCCTGTCAATGTCAAAAACCTAAAACCTTCTGCACCATATCACAATTGTTTCATTTATTCTCTTCCTGAAAGTTACACCGCGCTGATGAGATTCAATTGCGCAATCGTGCTTAACAAAAACTCTTCCTTGTGGATTGACTCTACCTTGGCGAATTCGAGCATCCACCACTGCTAAATAATAACGAAATCTGTCTGTCCGGAAAATCACAGATGTCATCCCTTGCATCCAAGCCAATTTAGAACTCCCCTCTCCGAAAATTTCCACCATGACAACCTCCAAATAATATTTCAAACCCACCGACCCTCAGTCTCCACAAACATTCTACACCAAATGTGACACTAGCGATCCACTCGATCGACTTCCAGCACAACAGTACTTCCTAACGACAAACAAACCATGAATCCCAAGTGAAAAGCACATCAATGACAAATGCTACAGAGATTCATTCACGAACTACCATCACGACATACCAGTCGCGGCGAACAGTACCGAGGAAGGAAGAGAGGACTGGGGGGGCGGTGGTAGCTCGCACAGGCAACTTCATGAAGAAGAAGAATAAGAAGGGAAGCAAGCAAGCAAGGAAGGAAGGCGCCGCACAGAGTCAGGCAGGCAGGCAGGGCTCCTTCCTCCTTGATTTGGCGATGGCGGTGACGCATGTAGTAAGTAAGTCAGTCAGTAAGGAAGTAGCTCTCTCCTCTGTTGCTGTTGCTGTTGCTGCTTCGCCTTCATCAGTCTATATTGTTCTACTTGAGTGGTGGTAGTAATGTTGTTGGAAATTAAGTCATTCCTATTTCTCTCTCAATGTTATCTATAAGATTGTTCTTAGCATAATTTCTTCATATGGTCAAGTGTCGCTTATATCTCCTGTGTAGATTTTATCAAAAGAAACAATGTTTCCAACTCAATTTGTTCCTTCAATGGTCTTGTGTTATTAAACAGAAACCATTATTTAAAATAAAATAAAATAAAATGTAAAGTGATATTTCTATCAGCACAGGCCTACTGGGTGCACATACAGAGATGTCATAAGTATATAAGAACTAAAAAAACATGTAGTGATGAATAAATTAAGAATTCATGAGGACTGCATAAGCATTAGGACCAAAAGAAAAATAATAAATAAATAAAAACCTAAAATTAAATTATTTTAAAAAAATCAATTAATGTGACGCTTAGAAATGACTGTTGTGGTATTACTACCCACTATATAGAAGAAAAAGAAAAGAAAAAGTATAAAAAGTATACAAATCTCAATATCATCATATTAATTATTAATCATGAAAAAATAAGTAAATAAATGAAACTGTTATAACTTCCATCAAGTAGAAAGTCAATCAGGTTTCATGTGGCAACAAAACACTCACATTTTCCAAGGAAAATTCCAAATTATGTTTTACTCTTTGCTTAGTATTTTATAAAAATTTATTTACATTCTTGGAAATCGTAATGTTTAAAACAAGTTATTTAATGATCAGAATTTTCAACATGGTGATGTACAGAGTGCCACATTTATGGAACAATACAGCCAACAATATTGCAAAGATTATTCTCGATGATTTGTAGGAAAAAAACTAAAATTATACAAAACAATTGATGCTCCCAAGTGCACTTCTGAAGTAGTGGTTTAGCATTCAACATTTTTATCATCTTTACACCTATATGAAAATCAAATATGTTAATGGGGAATTGAAATAATGCTAGAAATGACTGTGTTCAATAAAATAGCAATAGAATATGTTATGTTATTTAGCAAAGTTTATGTACTTCAGGTCTACACATTAAATAACCTCGAAATTGCATGTAATGATGGAATACGGTTTAGAGCTGCTCTAATTGGTTGCAGAAGATTTAGTTTCATTGTCAAATTCATCTAAGGTAGTGCAAATTTTACTGACATAAACATACTTGATTGTTGAAAAATAACTAATTTTCAATCTCAGGAACGTACAAAATAAATGGTACCTGCAATCAAAATCAATGTTGTGTAATATGATGTCGAGATGAATTTGGCTTTAGACCATTGGTTAGAAATGGTTACATTATTAGAATAATTAAAAATTCTAAAAGTACAAAAACCTGATGTGCACAACAAATATATAAATCAAATAAAATAAAGAAAATGAGAGTAACATCCTCTCCATTTACAATATTTGTCTAATGACTAAAAAAGGTGTGTTCGTAGGCTGACGGACGTTAAGGATTTGCCAAAGAAATTCCCATGAACTTTTAAGTTAGTTATATACATAGACCCAAAAAACAAAAAACAAATCATTATTACTATTGTTATTAGCTACACAATTAAATGACGAGTAAAATTAGTTAAAAACATACTTCCATACTTCATTAAAGACATAAAATCACACAAATTATTCTTTTGCCCTTTCCAACCAGCAATAATTTCAGGATAATGTAGGACAAGGGAGGGTATTCATGATGTATTATACATAAACGGTTAGTCATTACACAGAATGACGGGGCACAGTATATTCACTATGTATTGATAAACCCACACGTGGCAGACGTGACCCATCACAAAATCACGAATACTACCTCATAGACGATTTAAGTCTACAGTCGTCCCTACCACACATACTTCAGAGAAGCTTGACAGGAAAATGGCAGTGGATGAACATCACAGTGCTAGAGATGTGGATCAACAACACGTTTAGGTCAGGAGGGATTTCATGACAGACTTGATGTTGAGCTTCTTCAAGTCGGTGTAATTCTGACCACAGCCTACAAACATAACAGGCGCACCTGAGGTGTAAACCATGGACAGCGCTGCTCCAACCTTGTCATCAATTGTATCAAATTTGGTGAGTAAAATCCCGTCAATGCTCTGCGTCTGGGAGGAAGTAGATGAAAGATCGGCTAGTTTCTGATTGAATTGGGTGAGCTGGTGAACACCGTCATTGCCAACCAGAGCTTCTCCAACAAACAGCACCAAGTCAGGGTCATTCATGTTGATAAGCTTTGATAGAGCCCTCATAAGAGGTTCGTTATCCTGCATACGTCCAGCAGTGTCGACAAGGACAACATCCTGCTTTGTGCGTTTCGCTTCATATATGGCATCCCTAGCGACTACAGCAGGATCTTTCTCATAACCCCTCTCAAATATAGGAATCTGAAGTCTGCGAGCATGGGTGCGAAGCTGCTCGACAGCACCCGAACGAAAAGTATCACAAGCAGCCATCATCACCTTGATGTCATGTTGTTGCAGCCAGTATGCCACCTTGGCCAGATTGGTGGACTTGCCTACTCCATTGACACCCACAAAGACAATGGTGTAGGGTCGACCAACCTCCTTAGCCTGGTGGACATCACGCAGGATATCGACAGAACGCTTTGGTGTTAGAATTCTGACCAGAGATTCCTCCATAGCTGCTTGAACGGTGGTAGTAATACGCGTAAAAGAGCCCTGTTTCTTCCCAACAAGACTTGCAGCAACCGAATCGCACAGTTTCTCAGCAATATCTGCAGCCACATTCTTTGTCATCAACCGTTCTTTGAAAATTTTGAGAGCCGGCTCCAGATCCGCATACTCAAGAGCTGGTTTCCCTGCGACACTTTGAACCAGAGAAGTTAACCAACCCTTTTTAGAAGCTGCTTTCTTGCCTCCGTTCTCTTTCTCAACCTCCACCATCATGTCTTCAACTCGAAAACTCTCGTCGTCATCGTCTTTGTCCATCAAACTCAATCCTTTCTCCACAACAGCAATATCAACGCCATCATCGCCCTGATCAACAGATACGGGATCCGTAAAATCTAGCTTCGACGGAGGGGGAGCATCACCCCAAACCCTATTCTTCTTCTGCGGCTTCTTAGACACGGCATCATCCTTAGAAGTACCCTTCGGACCTTCCATGCCAGATGTGGCTTTCTTTGACTTGTTGTTCCTAAGCTTAGCTAACTTACTTACGTCAAACGCATTCTCGCTAGATGTCTTGTGCGCGACACTATCCTCATCACTACTGCTTCCACTTGCACTGCTCCTACCACTCTTTGTACTACCAAGTCCGTTGGCTTTGTTCCCATTGGCATGCCCATTGCCTGTACCATTGCTGTAACCCACAGGGCCAAACTTGCTACCATCCGCTTCACCGTCTTCGTCGGCCCCATCGTCATTTGACCCTGAACTCTTCCCAGCTGACTTATCACTTTTCCTCCCAGTCTGCGCATTTCGTGCTTGCGACTCAGAACCTTTCCTTGGATTATCTATGTGCCGGTGTTGCCCAACACGCTTGAAGTGAGAATTTGCTTCAGCTGCTTTCAATAGCTGCCGATAAGTGTCATCGAAATCATGATAAACTGTGCGAGTTGGAACAAACAATATAGAAAACTCTCGCATGACTTTTTCCAGAAGCTCATCCACGTATAGAAGATGTAACATTCTTTGGTACACAGCCACGAAGACCAAACCAAGTTCATTGTGGAATCGCCATTTTAACGTATATCCGGCCCCCGCCGCGTCATATTGAAATGAAGAGTCACCCGCTCTTTCTTCCAAAAGACATGTCTTGATGAGGGCATCAACTGGTGAACCTTTCAGAGCCTTCCCGACTTCCAGGCAAGACCACAGCACCAAACCGCCCCGAGTAAAAATGAGAAATTGCTCCAACATTGTTTTGTCCTGAACAGAATGATATTTCCCACACTTTAGATTGATTATTACCGGACTTGACCAGAAGTTTCTGGAGACAATTCGACAAGCGATTGTCGGTGCTAAGTCTGAATTGTAAAGCAAGAGTTACACTTGAAACCCTTGGAAATGCGATCTGCTTATGGTTTTTCCTAATGCAATGCATTCATGGATTAAAAGTATATAATACACTTTTCCTCATCTCCTAACTACATAATTCAGATGCAATATGGCAGGAGAGATTATATGTTTCTTCTGTCTGCTACGACAAGGTATCCAAAGTTCCATATTTTGATATTCACAATAAGATCCAAAGAACCTAGGTAAAAAATGAAGGCGGAAGTATTTGTGAATGAAACTTCTTACGTGATGGCTGACAATCCTCCAAATTAGGGTTCTGGGAAGTCGAAAGAGCAGCAAGGTAAAAGGGATCGTATTTTATAAGAGCGGAATATAGCTGGTTTTGATACGTCGAAGAAGACAACGTTGCGTAACTCCGCAAAAGATGTGCTGCGAACAACAAAAGAAATCATCAGCACCGCGTCCATAACATAAATCCACAAGAACAACACTAACGAGGCAGTCTCACTAGTGCCACAACTGATTGAACAGATTAAGAACAAGAAGACAACGGCAAGCCAAGCGACACGATGCGCTTTCTAGAACCCCCACCACGAAGAAGCTAGACGGCTTAGATCCCTGGATAGAAACGTTTGAAGCGGAAAACACGTATAACTCAGACGCCGAAACACATTACAAGTCCGCAATCTCACAATCAAAAGCTGATACTACAGGGCTTTAACCAGGTACCCTTGAAACAGACATGGAGTGGCTGAACACGTAAGAAGACGCATACACGACGCGTGCAAGGAAAGAAAAAAGAGCTCATAGGGTATGATAGACCAGTGCTACTAATAAACACCCAAACCCCACAAGGATACCCAAAACAAAACAAAACAAAACAAGTAAAAAAAAAAGAGAGGGTTGAGGAGGGGAGGGAGGAAATCACAGCGGGGAGGCGATACGAGGAAGGGAAGAGACCTGGAGGGAGACCTGGAGGGTGACAGAGGGGAGGAGAGGAGAGGAAGAGAACACGGAGGGAAGGGACAGACAGACCGAGTGAGCGAGCGAACCAGCAGCAGCAACACGCAGAATGACGCCAGGACGAGGGGAGAGCGCAGGGGTATACCCGGGCACCCCCCAACCCCCGCTCCCCTCCCCACTCGCCTGGTCTTCGTCTTCGTCTTCTTCATGCATCATCATCATCATGATGTAGGGTTCACGCGGGTTCCGCCTGGTCCAGTCTTCACACCTCCAGCCACGTTGCTTTTGGCACGCTCCTTCCACGTCAGCTTCATTGCTGCACGTGACTGCATTTCGGATTCGTGCCACGTGGTTTCTGACGGTCTCCTCTTCAAATAAGTAGTTATTTAAGTTAATTTTGACTTCAACCTCAAGTTGAAATCAGGTGAGAGGCAGTCTTTCTCCATTGAAACCCACTTAGAAAGGTCATGGCACAAAAAATAATTATAATTTCATGTTAATTTTCTTATTACAAAAATAGGGAATGTTAGAGACACTTTACACTTAAGGACAAGATGAAAGGTTGCAACTTTTAAATCATTAGATTAGTTGAAATTAAGAAGCTTTCTTGAAGTAACTTTATACTTAAAAAAATGAGGTAGAATGCACTCTTTTCTACACAACATGTATAACATTATCTTTAAAAATTATATATTTACTAAAGATGTGATTTAAAATAAAAATAATATCAATATATGCTTAAATTATCTATGAAAAAATAAGATATTATATTTTATATATTATAATGATTAGAATGAAGATATAAATCAATATATTTAGAATTATGATAAAATAATAATTTGGTCTATTTAATATTTTTTTCTCACTTTATTCTATATCCAAAGGCCAAAGGTTTTGAAAGAAGGCTTTTCTTTTCTAAGTAAAGAACCTTAGTAAGAATTTTAAACTATAGCCTTTTAAAGTAGGCTTATAAGTAGAAAATACCTCTTAGATTAAAATTACACAAACATTAGATATAACTAAAAAATCTATTACATTATTATTATTAATAACAATATATATATATATATATATATATATATATATATATATAAATACAAGATAAAAATAAATTATAGTCAGTATTATAAAATATAAAGAAGTTGAGGGTTTTGAATTAAGAATAAAACACAAAAAATTTGCTAACACAACAAAGAATTATCTCAATAATGCTTCTATATATATATTAACTAATTAAAAACTCATAAAAGTATTTTTTGAAGGATTAAAAGACTTACAAGCCAAATGTCAATATTATATGTTGCTTTAATAGCAATTTCTTTAAGATAATACACTTCTAAAAGAAACTTCTATAAACAAGTCACAAATCTATAAATTTTTAATAAATCTAATATTTAATTAAGAAGCTCTATTTTTATATTTTTAAAGAGAATATTATCTATCTAATATATTTTTATTTACTTATATTTTATTAATATTAATTTAAAAAAGAATATAGGCATATATTATAAAATATGTGATTAGATGATCTTTTCATAAGATTAGATCTTAATGTGTCAGGGACATGAATCTCGAAGAAAGAGAATCCTCAATACACTCTTGTGTCACTAAAGAGAACTAAAAAGTCACTCAAAAGATAATTTAATATTAATTAGAATAGCTATTGCCAAAAATAAGAACACTAGAAAGACTTGAAACAAGACTAAGGACTAAACGACATTGACAAGAATGAAGAAGGCTTCACTCTTGCCTCTCTATATATTCTTAATTAGAAGCTACGTAGCGATGTCCTATAAGACCTCCAAAATGTGTTGACTTTGCTAGCCACATGTCTTAATTTACAAGACAAGTTATCTATGTGTGCGCCACATAGTTAGCTTGTTCCACAAGCTACTAAATGGAGTTAACTTGTCCTATAAGGTAACAACACGTGATTAACTTGTCACACAAGCTATCAACACGTGGTTAACTTGTAGGTCAAGTTTCTATCCTATAAATACGTCTAAAGTAAAAATCTTGTTTATGAACCTTCTAGAAAGCTTTCCTAAAAGACTTTATAAAATTAATCTATATTTACCTACTTCTACTTAATTATATAAATAATTATTGGAGTAAATATATATGTTCATGATATTATCTCTTCTTCTAGGAACGAATTTTATGAGGAGAAGTTTTCATATATTGAGGAAGTCCAAGATGCGGCAAATTATATTTGCTACATATTTTGATCTTTTCTCTCTTCAAAGATGGTTGATAGGCCCTCTCAACCATCGATAGTGTTTTATACAAGGCAAAGAAGACAATCCTATTATTTGATCATTGTTGAGGCATTCGCAACTTCCTTCATATAAACATTTGAAACACCATTAGGAATTTTTTTTGCCTCTAATAAAATCACCAAACATTGGGAGTCTCTTCCAAGGTCGTGATATCAAACATGTTGTATTTTTCCATCTATTTGAGGAAAGACATGTTGTTCTTGAGGATCTTCATTTCAATTTTGTCATCTTGAAGGTTGTGACAATTGCAATGTTTCATCTGGTACGTCCGCAAATCAAAGCTCTTGAGTTGAATCTATTGGTTCTTGGTTCTCCATCTCTTTAGGATTACAAATATACATAAGCTACAAGAAAGTAGATAGAATGTTATCTTTGTTTGATCTTGTTTCTTTTATAGCAAAGATTTGCTATTTTTTATCTTGGTTTTGATGGATTTTGTTGGTGAAAAGATTCAACTCTCTTTGTTGCATTTGCAAGATTTTTTGATGGCTTCTATGTGCATTCCCTATTATCATATTCATGCCAATGAACAAGATATTTCAACCTATTTTGATACTGCCTTGAATCTAAGACTTCTTCCACTTTGAATTTTTGATTATTATCCACTTCTATAGGAGGAGGTGGCATTTGTCTTCTTTCCAAAATATTCAATGTCTTATATGGCTCAAGAAGGGATATGTGAAATACATGATAGATCTTCATAGACTCTAGTAGATGTAATCAATAAGCAACAAGATTGATTTGTTTACAAATAGAAAAAGATCCCAGCTTATGATAGTCTAACCTATCACAATGATGAATAGTCTTGATATTATGACGAAATAACTATATCTTATCACCTATGTTGAATTGTGGTTGCTTCTTGCAATAGGCATCGACGTTGATCTTTTGCTGACTTTGAACTTCTTTTAATTGTATCTTCATTATTTCATGTAGCTGTAACAAATGATTCGCCAAATCTTTTGCCACAAGATTATCAACTTTTGAAAAGTCAAAAGTATCAAGTTGTGGATGGTACCTATAATTAAAAAAAAGTATTTGTTGAATAGAAGAATGTACCAAATTATTGTATGCAAACTTTGCTAATGGCAAAAGAGCTGTTTAATCATCTTGATGATAGTTGATGGTACACCTCAAATATCGCTTCAAAATTTGATTTACTTGTTTTGTTTGTCCATCAATTTGAGGATGAAAAGTCAAAAAAAGCTTTATATCCACCTTTAGAATCTTGAATAGGATTCTCTAAAATCTTGATACAAATTGAGTCCCTTCATCAAATATAATATCCTTTGGCTATCCAAGATAGCGATAGATATTGTCAATAAAAAGATTAGTTATTTCTTTACTTGAAATAGATTTTGTACATAGTATAAAATGTGCCATTTTGATGAAGTAATCTATAATTATAAATATGGAGTCATATGAATATGAGATTAGAAGTTCTGTGATAAAATTTATAGAAATAGAAGACTATTATTGTTCTGGAATAGATAATGGTTGAAGAAGTTCATAAGGTTGATGGCAAGGAGTTTTGGATCTTGAACAAGTATTGCATGATTGTACAGAGTCTTTGATTGTCTTTTAAATTTTAGGCCACTAAAAATCTTTTGATATTAGGTCCAAATTCTTATTGTATGCAAAATATTCGGATGCTAAAAAATCATCACAAGCTTGAAGGACACGTAATCAAGCCTTGCCTTTTGAAATATATAGGCAAACTTCAAAATATAATAGGTTGTTCTTGAACTCAAAATTTGAAGTGTCATAGGATTTAGAGGAAGTATTCTTGATATCATGAATAAGAAGATCAGAGGACAAATTTGATTGAATTTGCTTGACAAATGTTGAATCAATAGTCAATTTTGATTTAATTACTTGAAGATGAAAATGCTTGTGCTCCAAGAAGGTCATTTTTTGTTGATCAAAAGATGCATCTCCTTCTTTTGGTGCAAGATAAGAATGTCTAGAAAGGATGTTTGATAGACATTATTGTTTTCTAGATCAATAAGTCATCTTGAAATTAAATCTAGATAAAGACATGGTCTAATGAATTTGATAATGATTCAAAATACGTGTTGACATGAAATACTCAAGGTTCTTATGATCCATATATATGGTGACTGGACTTGAGGCATCTTCTAGATAATGACATCATTCTTGAAATGAATCCATGATTGTAAGGAGCTCTTTGTCATGGATCTCATAATAAATCTTGGATGCTAAAATTTTCCTAGAATAGAAAGCTACTGAGTGGAGTTTGTCATCTTATCTCATTTGTGATAACATGACACCCATAGCAAAGTCTGATGCATTTATTTTCACAAAAAATGTCTTAGAAAAGTTGATACAATGTAAGATTGATATAAAAGTAAACTCTTTTTTTAAAACATCAAATGATGCTTTTGCTTCTTTATTCCATTGAAGTTTATTTGTACAAGTCAAACGTGTAAGTAGAGCTGTAACTTGAGAAAAATACTTGATGAAGATTTGATAATAATTAGCAAAACTTAAAAAGCATTGCTTATCTTGTACTGATCTTAGAATCTTCCAATTTATGATAGTTTAGACTTTCTTGGGATCCATCATAAGGTCTTTGTTGGAAATGATGTATCTTAAAGAGTGAACTTGAATAATATAGAATACATACTTTTTCAACTTAGTATATAATCTTGCATTTCTAAGTTTCTGTGACATATGACAAATATAAAGTTCATGTTCTTCTGTATTTTTAGAGTAGATTAGAATGTTGTCTAAATACTAAACAATAAAATCATCTAAAAACTCACAAAAAA